GGGTGGTGGGGGGGGGGGGGGGAGGGGTGGTGGTATTACAAATCCATGAAAAGAGAAATATTCTGGAATTCGTTAGAAAATGTAAGCATGCCTGGACTCTGGAGATTCTACAAAATATGAGATATGGTGGAGGTAGAAAGAAAAAAGCAATCTGGATCAGTTTGGGAAAGACAAAGAAATCTGAAAAATAATTTTTTTTAAAAGTAAGATTTTTTTAAGAAATAATGTCAACCCACACAACGTGTCATCTGGAATTCCGAAAGACACTACACTTGCTTCAAACTTCATCCTACTTGAAACCCACAAATCTGAAAATAGCAGTGCCTACAGAACCATTTTTACTACAGCACTAAACATCCATCCATGCTAGCAGATGAAGACTGTTACGCAGGAAAACCTTAACAGAACAGAAAAATTTACCGGGAATTACTTTTGACTGAGCAGTGGTGACATCTCTAAATCTCTCCAGCACCCACTATACAAAAAGGGGTAGCACATACCTCAAAATAGCACCCAGTTGAATTAAGGCTCAAGGAAGTCCTACCTTCTAACATTTTCCAGATTCATGCAACATCAGATTGGGTCCTGAAAGAGCTAGTTTCTGGCACCAGTGGTTTTTATTTTCAGTTTGTAGCTTTCGCAAGTTCCCATCCAAGATGCAATTTTTACCATACTAATCTCAAGTGGGGCACGTTATGGAATCAAAGGGAAATGTTTTATAGTAAAATATTTAAAAAAAAAAAAAAAAAAAAAAAAAAGATGGAATACTGAACGTGACCCAAGCAGATCAAGTAATATCTCAAACTGGTCAGAAGCCTAATTCACTAGTGCTGCATACAATTCTGTACTAGCTTAACCTACTCAGGAAACAAGGAAGCACAAGATGGAGTTGTACTAACTTCTACCCGCTTGAAAACCACATCTAAAAGCTTTAGTTCTTCTGGAAACTAAAATACAGGTCTGTATCTCTTCAAGCCTTACAATACCCAGTGACTCCCAGATAACATACCAGAAGTATCCACAAACTCTGTAACAGGTTTCTTAGAACTTAGCATGAAAAAAAAAAAAATCAAAATACGAGGGTATACTGACACACATACTCTCTTATCTGTCTAATGCTTCTTTAATCCATCCTGACAGTCTAGCTTGTGTGGTACTCGAGTTTTAAAAAATGTTTTTAAAATGTTTAAAACTTTTATTTAAAAACGTTTTGAAATGTTTAAACAATACAGGCTGAAGATTCACTGAAAACTGTGTCTGCACTAATGAGTCTCTTTACAGTACCTCCAAGTTTTCTCCTTGTCTCCTTCCTCACCCTTTTGTTGACCTACTGTCCAGGCAAAACAAAGTGTGATTTCTATGCCTAGTTTGGAGCAATGCATGTGTTGAATTAACAAATGGTATTCAAATGCTAAGTGGCCAGTCACTACTGCTGTTTCCATAATGCGAGCTAAACAGTACTCAATAGCTTGGACGATTATGTATGAAAATTCCCTCACCACCAACTCTTCCACCAAGATGCAATTCTACACAAAGCTTGACAATTCTGTATCTCTGAAACCTGTCTTCCTATCACAGATTTGGCTGACAGGGATCAGCCAAAAGAAAATGCATGTACAGACAGCAGGATTGCATAGGCTTAGTTTTCCAAGTCAATCAGGCCAATTCTCCCCTCTTTCCAACATAAAAACCACTAAGCAGTAGTTGCACTGTGTTGGAGCAGCCCGCAGATACCAGTCCCTATAAATTACAAGCCTTTCAGGTAGCTGGGGGTATTCTATATGAATATTCAGGATTTAGTTTGTTCCCCTTGATAGATTCAGCCAGGCAGGGAAGAAACTAGGACGGAATAGCAGAATGATTCATTGCATACAGACTTTCTTGTTTGATGGGGAGCTCACTGAGAAACAGGCTTCTGGCCATCACAGAAGATGCATGTCAGCTTACAAGAAATGTTCACAGCACCAAGGACTCCTAATCTGTCCGGTACTTCATTTAAGTATATTTAATACCCAGTGAAGATAACAGTTGAGCCAGGTTTAATTTTTAGAGATTAAAAATAAACTGGGGAAAAACAAACCAACCAACCCACGCACAAAAACAGGAGGCAGACCCTAGGGCAGCATAAAGCAACAGTGAGAGTGTTGGACTTACCTTTTATTTCCACTGGCATTTGTAATGTTCAGGATGAAACAATTCCCATGCTTTTATACAATCTAGTAAAGCTTTTAGAAACCCTAAACCCATCAGAGTAGCATAAAATTGTATTAAGCAAATGAAGAGTAACTTTAAAATTATAATATATTTAATAAAATAATTGGAATTCCTTATAGAAATTGTTTAACTTCAGAGTGAAAAGCTCAGTTCAAATTCATGTTCCTCAAAAGTAAAAAGTCAATGCAGATTTACAAACCATGTATGCTCATTTTTTTGAGATACATTTCAAGAAATACAAGTACAGCTATTAGCTGCTAAACACAAGACCATAGTTAGAAAACGCATGAGTGATTATAGCTACCTCAGGTTAGCTCTGGTTACTTTGGCATTCTCAGTACTCATGGCAAGAGCCTTCCACTGTGCAGTTTTGGCCATTTCGTCTGATATGTTTACAATTGAGGGATCAAGGCTAAAGAACAAACATACTTTCTGGTTAGTATTCAATACCTTACAACAGCATTATACTTATTGTCACACACCACTTACATCAGTTGTGCCTTCTTTCACTATTTACACAGCCACAAGTCGAGTTAATCTCTTACAAATGTATTTCAAGAAAAATTTGAAAATTTAACGCACTAGCACTGCCTTAATCACATAGCATCTTAAAACAGTTTTTCACATAGATACCACTAAAACACTGAGAATATTTGAGAGTTATCTCATTTCTGAATTACCTGTAACTTCACAGAATTATTTTGCATGCTCAGAAACTGTTCTGCTAAGGCTTCCATAAATCAGTATTATTTTAAGTTGTTTCCAGGAAATAGTCAAGGGCAACAGAGCAGATGTTAATAAAATTTTGAAACTGGTAACTCAGTTGAAATTTAATACTAGTAAAAATATCTAAGTCCCAATTATCTAGACATTTCAAGTTAATTTTTTTCCTGCAGTGCCTTACTAGACATTTTTCAAGGGTTTTTTTTTGCCACCAGCCCCCAAGTCCTGTAAAAGGTAAGTTCACTCTCACAGATGGTAAGCTTTCAAAACCTATTTCCCCATTTGTCCTCTGCCCGTTTATATGTACAGCAGACTTAGGTGTTGTCTGTAGATATGTTTTCTGTTCTGTTCCATACTTAAGCTTCGGAATCTACCTCAGGATATCTGTAAGAGTTCTTCAAATTGCACAGAAATCTGTCAAAGCTATTTTTCCTCAGGAATCCCCACAAGATGCAAGACAGTGAAATATACAGTAAACACACATGCACACAGTTAATGAAATAATAGTTCTACTGTGAGAGCAATCAGCAAATCAAATGTTTTTTAAAAATGTTTTAGCATTTTCATTCAAGTTGCTAAAGTCTGACTAAGCTTGCTCTTAGAGTAGACAATAGCACTCGACAGGAATACCTGTCCAATCCAAAAACCTGCCTGTTCCCAACTCAGATCAGGGTAGACCTGACACTAGTCTAGATCCACAGGAAAGCCAATTTTTAACCTAGGAATCCTTAGTAATAGAGAGGCAAAAAAAGCTGGCAAGCTATTTATATATCCATATATATCCATTATATATATCCAGGTGTGTTGACAGTTGTAGAATACCTGACAACTAAGCTGAACACATCCCCAGTAAGGGAGAGATATTACTGAGACAAAATGCCTTCCAGTGCTGAAGGAACTTTCCATCAGTGAAATTCCAGCACTTCCTTCTCTGGAAGAGAACCGGAAACCTTGTCCTCACATTTACTTTCAGAAAATGACCTTTTAAAATAAAAATGGCCACCTGTAGGAAGTTTTTTTGTATCACAGAAATGACAGACTTTAGCCCTCACTTAAATAAACCATCAAAGAACTGCACACTTAACAACTTTTTTTGAAATATCCAAGTGGCTGGTAAACACACGGCTCAACTGATGCTATTAGTTGCTTAATACTCAGTATTTCATGCACAGTAACACACAAGTATTCCATGAAAACTGACCAAGGAAGCTTCTTCACCTTGAGTACAGCTGGTCGAAATTGAGTCATCTGATCTGTTCAAGATGGTCATGTAAATTTATAATTAAGATACAGTTTTAAAGAACAATGCACATTAAAATGCTACTATAGCACCATGAGATACACCTTCATACTTCCTAATCAGGGCTGAGTTACAAGCCTGGGGAAAAAGAATTAGTTCAACTCATACACAACCAACTTCATGTAAAGCAAATTACAGCACATAATACAAAAACTCCTAAGAGACCAACATTTTATTATACCTGTATTTTAGGGTTTTTACAGGAAAATCCAAATTTGCTTCTCCATATGCAAGATGTACACTTCCATTGTCCCCTGTCTGAAGCATTCTCTCTGCTTCCTGTAAATTCAAAGTAAAACGTTTATAAAACTACCATGCAGCAGAAATCAAAGAATTATCTCATGCTGACAGTTACTTTTCGTAGGGGTAAGGGGCATTTCCCTGTAGGTACTGGAGTTGAATGCAGGAGATATAGTTTAAGACCTTTTTTCTTAGAAGTGTTTTATCCAGGTAGGGAAGATGGGGGAATGGAGAAGGAGGGTTTTACAAGTTCTGTAAGGAACTCAGGTAGCTGGTATACGGTTAGGTAAGGCTTTTATGGAGAAGTTATACAGGCTATATTACTAGTAACTAGCAGCTGGTTCTAACTACAGCTCTGCAAACAGACACAAGCAAAATGTCCCTGATATGATGAAGAGTTTTGTGATTAATTTAAGCAGGGCAAATATCCCCACTCCACTGCTCTTCTCTCCCATCCACACCCACCTTCTAACCTGATGAAAGACAATGAAAACAGCATTTTGTGCTAAAAATAGCTTCTTTCCACATTGCATGCTAATTTTAATCACAAAGAAGAGCCATAGTTCATAATAGCATAACTGAAACAGTGACTTTTCCTTAACTTAATTACCAGTAATAATTCCTCTAGCATTAAATCTCACTAGTAAGGAATTTCAAAATGTGTATTTAGTATATAAGGTCATATGCTCAGGCCACTTAAAATTGTTTTAAGTCTCATTGAGTATTTTCTAGTAATTTACAACATGCTTACTGCTTATAGCACACTTACAGCCTTCTCTTTTTTCTTCTTGTCATCTTCTTTCTTCTTTTTACTTTCTGGCATAAGATCATCAAGCCAGCTAAGCTCTCTTTTGGTGAAACATAAATCCATGAGCTTGCGAATGAACACTAACGCTAGAACCTTAAGGGAACCAGAAGTGGAATAATTTATATTAAACTATTTAATGAATGAAAATGCACACACACTTTCAGTACTTTCAGAATCTTTAATGAAAGCCCTTTTTTGTAGTACTAGTTTTATCTTACTACGAAGTTAAATAATTTCCACTTTCAATAGCTACTCACAACTGTCAGGAAATGAAATAAGTCCTTCTATTTCAAAAGTAAACAACTTGTACTATGGGTTCTTTTGTTGCTTTCCCACCTTCTTCTTTCTTAAGGCAGCAAATAAATATGTTCTTAAGAGATACCTGGTTGATGCACGTAATCCTGGAAAATTATTAACTTGTAAAACAGATAACTTACCATCATAGGGAAAACAACAGCAGCTGCAGAGGCTTTAATCACCCACAACAGAACTAGGCAAGTGAGCTGAACTACTGTAAAGATATGGACCTTCCAGAGTGGCACATAACGTAGATAAATCAGGTCAGGTTGATGTTTGGCAGGCATTCCAAACAGTTTTATACGGTCAAAAAACTGCATTGAAAAATAAAATCACCCTTCAATTAATTATTTTTCCCCCTACAGAAGGAAATAAACATTTTTAGGGGACTCCAGAAACGTAAGTTAATCCCGAGTAAAATACTTTACCTGAATGCCCTTTAATGAAGATACTCCCATGTAAAGAAAGACACCATACAAAACTGGCATTGGAATAAACTGGGGAGGAAAAAACACCCACACAGTTACTTGTGGAATCAACATGGCATAACATAGCAGTCCATATTAGTGAAAGACATGGACCAAGTTATTTTTCACTTTATATTTTACTTAAATGAGATCTGTAAAGCTGAGGTTCTTTATTTGTAGAGAAAATATATGCATCACTGAGCAGCAAAAAGATCTAGCACTAACAAGGCTATCACCACAATTTAAAAAGTAGTTCAGTCTTGACTGCTCATTCATTCAATTTTTTAGGTTACAACCAAGACTTCTATTAATGCTAAGTATGCTGCTTTTTGTAGCTATCTGATAGGAACTGTACTGAGACCATCAACTTCATGAAATCGCCATATGAAGTCTTACTTTTGATCACCAATCTTGCATTTCTGGAGCAGATAAAACAAAAAACCCACCATACCTACTGAGCTATGAAAATCTGCTAATTACTCAGAGCTAAACTTTGCTCCAGTAAGATGATCAATTTAAAGCTTACTAAGATAAAGAAGTTGTCCACAGATTTCAGTGGCACTTGCATCAAACCTCTGCAGCCTACATAAAGCAAGCAAAGCTTTCTTTGCTCCCAAATTCATGAAACTCACGAGTAAAGGACAGCCAAGATACAACTTGAAATATTAATAAAACCTGCTGCTATCAAGCCTGAACAAAAGCCTTTACTGAAACTTAAAATAGTATAGAATAAAACTATGCCTTAGGGATTCATTACTGCATACATGCGTGCAGAGCTAGTGTCTTCACTGTAAGCTCTGTAATTGAACATACTAGTACTTCATTCATGGTAACTTCTACTGCATTAAATCAGTATAAATCCATACATGGAACAAAAGCACAGCAACCTACAGGTGCGAGGCTTTGTTCTCCTTCCTTCTTTTGAATACTAGAAGCCGTTCACATTGAAAAAGAAAAACGTTTCATAAAGAGCAAATAGTAGTAATTCCATTACTATTACCCTTGGTTCGATAAAAAAATAAAAGCATTATTTTCTAAGAATCAGCTGTTAAAACGTGGGGTAAACATCTAGCTTCAGCAATCAGCACCTTTGTCTTTTGCTTCTGAACAACAATAAATCTGCTTCAATGTTTTTTGCTTCCGATTCCGATCATTTCCATTATACAGGTGAGCTCTTGGTAGCTTTTCAACCAGAGACTGTCAAACCTCAATACTCACTTTTAATAACTGCTACTGCCTTATTGTTTTCAGATCTTTACATTCTTTAAAACATACAAATGATCAACTATTAAAAATGTATAATATTTAGCTCTAATTACTAAACTGTAGCTGTGTGTTCGTAGGTTTATTTCTTCCCATTCTCTAAATTTAAACACCCATTAGAAGCTACCTTTTTGTGAAATGACTTGTGATCTGTCTTTAAACAGACTTCTACAAAGTTACTGAAAGGTACTGGCAATTATGCAGTTTATGCCATATCTGCTATTTTGGCAACAGAAATACAGGGGGGGTTATTTCTCCTTTTAACTATTGGGGTTTGAAACAACACAGAAGTTGATCAGATTTTATTCAAATCTGGGCAAAAAGCCAACTGAACTGATTGGTTTTCTTCCAATAAAGTCTTCAGAAGGGCATTATGGATATAAAGTAAGACAAAGTGTAAACTGAGGCCACAATACGATGTGAGAAATCTATTACACTGTGATGATTCAGAAAATAATCTTGACACTTTATAAACATCAAAGGAAGTTTAATAAGCTGAAGATAAGAATGAGAAGTGAACAATGTCACTTCTGATGATCACTTTTTAAACTAGATGTTTCTGTTTCTTCTGCTATATTACTTCTGCTCAAGTAACTTTGTATTTTTATCACACTCCTTTTATCCTTCTATTTATGCACTCACATAAAAACTACAGAAGACCTGTTTTTAGGTGACAAGGACTCAAGAAACTAAAAAATAGCTGGCAAGAAAATCAGGCGAGATGGACAAAGGTTGCTTTCTTCACTACTCGCTACATTTCTAGCTTGCTCAGATCTCACTTTCTTACATCTCCCCCCATCGTTTCTATTCAACTAACACCTGTTGTTAAAAAGGTAACTTGAGAATGAGTCCAGGCATTTTTACTTAATGTAATAAAACCTCCTAAGATCATGAAATGCTAAATCACATATCAAAATCAAAAGCACAAAGAAAATACAAATATTTTGGAAAAACTGTCTTTTACCTTTAACACAGAAGTCATGAACACTGACAGCCCCATCAAGACAAAAATCATCAATCCTGTCACTCGCTGCTCCCGGATTCCCAAAAACTTTGGTTGCTCTCCTGGTGCTGAGCATTCAGATTCAACTTTCAGGCTATTAACATGACTTATAGACAGGACAGTTGCAGCAACAAACCACGGTAAGCCCATGATGGAACATATTCCCAGCATAATACCAACCATGAGCAGATCAAGATGATAACCACAGCCTTTCTGTAAAATTAAGTGAACAAATAATTTGATAAATTTTCTATTTATATGATACCATTCTTATAACTTAGCTGGTAAATAACAGATAACTAAAAAAGTTAGATACTTTAAGAGTGTCCACAAAACTAAATTTGTTCTTCATTAGTCAATATATAAATTTATTTAGTAGCTGTTGGTAATGTTTCACAGATTTGCAGAATGAATCTGATTTAAAATAAAATGACTTTTACCTTCAGCTTATGCTCTTTCCTGTTTATAATAACAGCTGTTATTTGTTGATCCATGAAAATGAGAATGGTGCAGAGTAAAGCAGGAAGAGCAGCTATCAAGAGTGTCCACCAAGGATTGCTTCCAAGAGGATCTATGAACCATCCTCGGTCTTTTCGGGTGGGCTGGAAAAAAAAAAAAAAAATCAACAACAAGAATTAAAAGACTACGATAAAATGCATATTTTATTGCTACAAACAGCTGCAATGAACAAATAAACAGTCTCTTAATATTTTTTTTTCCAATGGCTTTGGCCAAAAGACTGATTTAGCTGTTAGATATGAATGTGACATTTATGTGGAAAAAATTAAATTCTTACTTCAAATTTCTCTGGAACATGAAGCTTAGGAGAAGGTACTCCTACAAGATAGTCAATCAAAACCATAACAACTATGGTCAGAAATACTGCAAAGTCACTGATGGTAGAACGCACCTGTAATGAAAAGACTTGTGTTAACTCTTGCTTTTTCATCATTATAATTTGCATGTATAGAAAGACAATTTTCTCCCCTATGAATAGTGAAGTCTATTTATATTATACTACAACATTGAACATTACATGCGTTTTCTCTTTTTATTTTAAAATTTAAGCTGTCTGCCAACATAGCATGAAGTTGCAAAAGGTTCATCCAATTATTTCATTTAAAATTATCTACTGCAAGCAGCAAATTACTTAAAATAACTCCTTCCTCATCTTCCTGTCCTCCCAACCATACTGGGAGGCTGGGGCATCACAGCTAGTCTCTTGCAGCTTAATTCAGTAACATCACTGAATTATTCTGGAATCAATAGTCATACATTTGACGGTTTTAATAGATGGGAGGGGGATAATTTGCAACAGATTCAGATTACCAAAGATGCCTTCATAAAACATTAGGAACACATTGTAGGGATGAGCTGAGGTATACAGAAGATCAAACCACTTTATTTTGGCTAGCAGAAATAAGTTGTGTAAATCAGTCCACGGATGAACATTATATTAGCCTCTATTAGAAAGAGTAATCCTCTGAGGAACCGCTCCGAACCCTTGATACATCAGCAGTTTGGGGAAAGCAATTAATTGTTTTGTACAGCTAGGTAAGTAAAACAGCAGCAATATTATCTCTCCAAATGGTACCTGGCAGTACCCATTAATATGGGGAGACAGACTGCTTAGGTCTTTCGAATGTTTAGAACATCTTGTAACTATAGGTAAGTAGAGTAAGCACTGAATTTTCAGCAGCCAATTTATTTAACGTCTTCATTTTTTGATTTATTAGTTAATTGTCTGTTTTTAATTTCTTTTTCTGTCTTAAAAGAAATCTCTCAATAAAAAGTGCTGAAGTAAAATTTAAAAGTTCAACTCCATTAAGTTATACTAATATATTTATCACAAGATAACAAGAGTATCTAATCAGAATTACCTTAGTTGGGAAATATCGTTTGGTCTTGAATTGCTTAAGGAAAGAGGAGAGGAAAAATGTTGTAAAGAATAGTATGACAGACCAGAAGAGAACATCTGGAATATATGGTCCGTGATGGCTACAAGCTGATCCATGAAACACACCACGAAATTCTACACATTCCTGTAAAGAGAAAAATTCCTTAAATTTCTATATTTTATTCATTTAGTATGTTCAACCTAACTTAGAGCTTTTTGATATAAGACACAACTGAGAACTTCCACAATCCCCCAAAAAATGTTCTTTCTTTCATCGCTGCCTCATCCTGAAATGCCAAAAATGTGAGCTGTCTGTTCCAGAAGAGCCACAGTATCCATCACTGATTATTTCAGGATGCCAAAATGCTGGGAAGTGCCCAAGAAGAAACAACTTCTTTATATTCACATTATTTCTATTCTGTTTCTCAAAGCATCACAAGATGAATGCCTAAAGAGACTGAGAACTAAGCCCAGGAATAGCAGACTATCCAGCATCAAGCTTTCACATGGACGAACATTTAAAAAAAAATCCCCAAAAGAGATCTCAGTTTCTCCCACCTCTTAATTCTTAAACTTTGTTTTGTCCTCATTCAGTTGAGGGGGGGAAAAAAAAAAAAAAACACCAAACGTCTTACACAATATTAACCCAACTGTAGGGGGGGAAAAAAAAAAAAAAATCTAGTGAACTAGAAAAGCATTGTAAATAATGAATGTGAATGAAAAGTAACACAGTCAGACAATCCCTATACAAAAGGCACACCGAAACACAAAGCAAAATATTAAAGTAGACACAGGGAGTACAAGGAAACAACAAGCCAATAAATTAAAAGAGTTGGAAGCAGCACTGACACAAACTAGTGTTTAAACAGGTTATTTTATCAAAAATTTAACTTATGACAAAAATTCTCCCTGTTAACAATCTACTTTGATTATAAGCACCACCAAATTCTGGATCAGTTCTGTCTCTCTGGGAAGACTAAAGTTGCTTAAGAGAATAAAAAGGTATATAAAATAAATAATAAATATTAAAAAAAAAAATATTAAAACTAAGTTCAAGAGGAACTGCCATCCTAGGTGAGTGTGGTAGACTAGGAACCATTGGCGGTAGAAAACACTACAGCTAAAACCCAAGTAAAGCACCGAGGTTATTCATAGTATTTTTGCTGTGTAAAACACCTACTTTCAGTGTGAACGTCTAGGCTCACATGCAAGGAAAGCCCATGCGCAGGGATCACTTTAGATAGCCTAAGATGGCCAAAGTAGGCACACACAGATAGCAAATGCAACACAAAATCTATGGCAGATCCAAATCATTCAAGATGTAGGTGGAAACCAGACGCCGGGATATGCAAAGCGGCTGTAGACAGCTGCATTTAGGCAACTGAATCCCACACAAGGAACTACTCATCAGCAGAAATGTTTCTTCCTAAAAGCCTTCAGTATCACTTCCACACAATAACTTTCCTCCTCTTCATGTACCCACAGAATTAGGTATTGTTATAAAATATCCAGTTCAGAAGGTAATGCTTTCAAGCCTATTCCTTCAAATAGCTCATCCCCTTTTCTTTTAACCTTAAAATTTCCAAATAAGTATTCTCTTCTAACCAATATTTAGTTTATTTGATTCTGTTGTAGTTTTATATCAATGTCTAACAAACTAATGAAATGTGATTGTTACCACATTTTAACTGCAGATTCCATCTTCACATCTTCTTAAAAATATCTGTTCATCCTTTCCAGGAAATTGAAGGAAGCTATCCCCTGTTTGTTCACCTTGTCATCTGCACTTTAGAAGGATGACTGCTCTGCCAAGCAGGATTAAAGCAGCTACCTCAAGCAGACATTTACTGCCATGGACTCACTCAACCAAACCACTACAATGACCCTTTAAAGCATTATGGGAGGAATGAGAGAGTTCAAAAATACAGTTTTAAAGGAAACAGCCCAGGTTCAAATAAAGAAAGAAACCAGATGAAAAATATTAATCAAGACTGGTACTGTGTGGGTATTTATTTTTTTTTATATACATACACACACACAACCCCCCATATATATATATATATATATATACACACACAAAAGTAAGACAAAGTGTAAACTGAGGCCACAATACGATGTGAGAAATCTATTACACTGTGATGATTCAGAAAATAATCTTGACACTTTATAAACATCAAAGGAAGTTTAATAAGCTGAAGATAAGAATGAGAAGTGAACAATGTCACTTCTGATGATCACTTTTTAAACTAGATGTTTCTGTTTCTTCTGCTATATTACTTCTGCTCAAGTAACTTTGTATTTTTATCACACTCCTTTTATCCTTCTATTTATGCACTCACATAAAAACTACAGAAGACCTGTTTTTAGGTGACAAGGACTCAAGAAACTAAAAAATAGCTGGCAAGAAAATCAGGCGAGATGGACAAAGGTTGCTTTCTTCACTACTCGCTACATTTCTAGCTTGCTCAGATCTCACTTTCTTACATCTCCCCCCATCGTTTCTATTCAACTAACACCTGTTGTTAAAAAGGTAACTTGAGAATGAGTCCAGGCATTTTTACTTAATGTAATAAAACCTCCTAAGATCATGAAATGCTAAATCACATATCAAAATCAAAAGCACAAAGAAAATACAAATATTTTGGAAAAACTGTCTTTTACCTTTAACACAGAAGTCATGAACACTGACAGCCCCATCAAGACAAAAATCATCAATCCTGTCACTCGCTGCTCCCGGATTCCCAAAAACTTTGGTTGCTCTCCTGGTGCTGAGCATTCAGATTCAACTTTCAGGCTATTAACATGACTTATAGACAGGACAGTTGCAGCAACAAACCACGGTAAGCCCATGATGGAACATATTCCCAGCATAATACCAACCATGAGCAGATCAAGATGATAACCACAGCCTTTCTGTAAAATTAAGTGAACAAATAATTTGATAAATTTTCTATTTATATGATACCATTCTTATAACTTAGCTGGTAAATAACAGATAACTAAAAAAGTTAGATACTTTAAGAGTGTCCACAAAACTAAATTTGTTCTTCATTAGTCAATATATAAATTTATTTAGTAGCTGTTGGTAATGTTTCACAGATTTGCAGAATGAATCTGATTTAAAATAAAATGACTTTTACCTTCAGCTTATGCTCTTTCCTGTTTATAATAACAGCTGTTATTTGTTGATCCATGAAAATGAGAATGGTGCAGAGTAAAGCAGGAAGAGCAGCTATCAAGAGTGTCCACCAAGGATTGCTTCCAAGAGGATCTATGAACCATCCTCGGTCTTTTCGGGTGGGCTGGAAAAAAAAAAAAAAAATCAACAACAAGAATTAAAAGACTACGATAAAATGCATATTTTATTGCTACAAACAGCTGCAATGAACAAATAAACAGTCTCTTAATATTTTTTTTTCCAATGGCTTTGGCCAAAAGACTGATTTAGCTGTTAGATATGAATGTGACATTTATGTGGAAAAAATTAAATTCTTACTTCAAATTTCTCTGGAACATGAAGCTTAGGAGAAGGTACTCCTACAAGATAGTCAATCAAAACCATAACAACTATGGTCAGAAATACTGCAAAGTCACTGATGGTAGAACGCACCTGTAATGAAAAGACTTGTGTTAACTCTTGCTTTTTCATCATTATAATTTGCATGTATAGAAAGACAATTTTCTCCCCTATGAATAGTGAAGTCTATTTATATTATACTACAACATTGAACATTACATGCGTTTTCTCTTTTTATTTTAAAATTTAAGCTGTCTGCCAACATAGCATGAAGTTGCAAAAGGTTCATCCAATTATTTCATTTAAAATTATCTACTGCAAGCAGCAAATTACTTAAAATAACTCCTTCCTCATCTTCCTGTCCTCCCAACCATACTGGGAGGCTGGGGCATCACAGCTAGTCTCTTGCAGCTTAATTCAGTAACATCACTGAATTATTCTGGAATCAATAGTCATACATTTGACGGTTTTAATAGATGGGAGGGGGATAATTTGCAACAGATTCAGATTACCAAAGATGCCTTCATAAAACATTAGGAACACATTGTAGGGATGAGCTGAGGTATACAGAAGATCAAACCACTTTATTTTGGCTAGCAGAAATAAGTTGTGTAAATCAGTCCACGGATGAACATTATATTAGCCTCTATTAGAAAGAGTAATCCTCTGAGGAACCGCTCCGAACCCTTGATACATCAGCAGTTTGGGGAAAGCAATTAATTGTTTTGTACAGCTAGGTAAGTAAAACAGCAGCAATATTATCTCTCCAAATGGTACCTGGCAGTACCCATTAATATGGGGAGACAGACTGCTTAGGTCTTTCGAATGTTTAGAACATCTTGTAACTATAGGTAAGTAGAGTAAGCACTGAATTTTCAGCAGCCAATTTATTTAACGTCTTCATTTTTTGATTTATTAGTTAATTGTCTGTTTTTAATTTCTTTTTCTGTCTTAAAAGAAATCTCTCAATAAAAAGTGCTGAAGTAAAATTTAAAAGTTCAACTCCATTAAGTTATACTAATATATTTATCACAAGATAACAAGAGTATCTAATCAGAATTACCTTAGTTGGGAAATATCGTTTGGTCTTGAATTGCTTAAGGAAAGAGGAGAGGAAAAATGTTGTAAAGAATAGTATGACAGACCAGAAGAGAACATCTGGAATATATGGTCCGTGATGGCTACAAGCTGATCCATGAAACACACCACGAAATTCTACACATTCCTGTAAAGAGAAAAATTCCTTAAATTTCTATATTTTATTCATTTAGTATGTTCAACCTAACTTAGAGCTTTTTGATATAAGACACAACTGAGAACTTCCACAATCCCCCAAAAAATGTTCTTTCTTTCATCGCTGCCTCATCCTGAAATGCCAAAAATGTGAGCTGTCTGTTCCAGAAGAGCCACAGTATCCATCACTGATTATTTCAGGATGCCAAAATGCTGGGAAGTGCCCAAGAAGAAACAACTTCTTTATATTCACATTATTTCTATTCTGTTTCTCAAAGCATCACAAGATGAATGCCTAAAGAGACTGAGAACTAAGCCCAGGAATAGCAGACTATCCAGCATCAAGCTTTCACATGGACGAACATTTAAAAAAAAATCCCCAAAAGAGATCTCAGTTTCTCCCACCTCTTAATTCTTAAACTTTGTTTTGTCCTCATTCAGTTGAGGGGGGGAAAAAAAAAAAAAAACACCAAACGTCTTACACAATATTAACCCAACTGTAGGGGGGGAAAAAAAAAAAAAAATCTAGTGAACTAGAAAAGCATTGTAAATAATGAATGTGAATGAAAAGTAACACAGTCAGACAATCCCTATACAAAAGGCACACCGAAACACAAAGCAAAATATTAAAGTAGACACAGGGAGTACAAGGAAACAACAAGCCAATAAATTAAAAGAGTTGGAAGCAGCACTGACACAAACTAGTGTTTAAACAGGTTATTTTATCAAAAATTTAACTTATGACAAAAATTCTCCCTGTTAACAATCTACTTTGATTATAAGCACCACCAAATTCTGGATCAGTTCTGTCTCTCTGGGAAGACTAAAGTTGCTTAAGAGAATAAAAAGGTATATAAAATAAATAATAAATATTAAAAAAAAAATATTAAAACTAAGTTCAAGAGGAACTGCCATCCTAGGTGAGTGTGGTAGACTAGGAACCATTGGCGGGAGAAAACACTACAGCTAAAACCCAAGTAAAGCACCGAGGTTATTCATAGTATTTTTGCTGTGTAAAACACCTACTTTCAGTGTGAACGTCTAGGCTCACATGCAAGGAAAGCCCATGCGCAGGGATCACTTTAGATAGCCTAAGATGGCCAAAGTAGGCACACACAGATAGCAAATGCAACACAAAATCTATGGCAGATCCAAATCATTCAAGATGTAGGTGGAAACCAGACGCCGGGATATGCAAAGCGGCTGTAGACAGCTGCATTTAGGCAACTGAATCCCACACAAGGAACTACTCATCAGCAGAAATGTTTCTTCCTAAAAGCCTTCAGTATCACTTCCACACAATAACTTTCCTCCTCTTCATGTACCCACAGAATTAGGTATTGTTATAAAATATCCAGTTCAGAAGGTAATGCTTTCAAGCCTATTCCTTCAAATAGCTCATCCCCTTTTCTTTTAACCTTAAAATTTCCAAATAAGTATTCTCTTCTAACCAATATTTAGTTTATTTGATTCTGTTGCAGTTTTATATCAATGTCTAACAAACTAATGAAATGTGATTGTTACCACATTTTAACTGCAGATTCCATCTTCACATCTTCTTAAAAATATCTGTTCATCCTTTCCAGGAAATTGAAGGAAGCTATCCCCTGTTTGTTCACCTTGTCATCTGCACTTTAGAAGGATGACTGCTCTGCCAAGCAGGATTAAAGCAGCTACCTCAAGCAGACATTTACTGCCATGGACTCACTCAACCAAACCACTACAATGACCCTTTAAAGCATTATGGGAGGAATGAGAGAGTTCAAAAATACAGTTTTAAAGGAAACAGCCCAGGTTCAAATAAAGAAAGAAACCAGATGAAAAATATTAATCAAGACTGGTACTGTGTGGGTATTTATTTTTTTTTATATACATACACACACACAACCCCCCATATATATATATATATATATATATACACACACACACACACACACATACACATATACACACACAGCTTTTAGATACTCACAGAAACTGTAAGGTTACTCCATGCTATATTCTCCACAGACTTATTCATATTCCTCCATGCCTGCAAAGTTTCATTACTGGGTTTCTCAGGCTCAGAACACACACATCTGAAGGGAAGAAAAGAATAATTTACAGGCTTTTAGGCTGTATGTGCCAAAATGCATTGATTCACAGTAATTTCAAAAATACCGAAGAGTTGAAACCAGACTTTAGCCCAACCTTCTATGAAAGAAACAGAGTACAAGACTCGTCCTTACATGACATGAACTAGGATTATCGGGGCAGGGCGGGGGGTAAGCAGGGAAGGTGGGCACAGAAATTAAGAATCAAAGAACAAACTGGTCAGGAGGTTTAACAGATTGGGCCAAAAAAAACAAACTATGTATTTTAAAGAATTAGAAGCAGGCAATATGTTGACTTAACTATATGATTGATCTGACAGTTTTTAAATAGAATGACACCTGAAAAATAAAATTAAATAATATATGCAGACGTCTACATATTGTGAATAAAAAGATAAAAATCAAAACACCACCACCTTCCAATAACGCTATGCTAATATATTTTGTTATTTCTAAAGATTTCTATATAATTGGACTAACTTGGTGCAAATATGTTTTCTATGACTGTGTACAGATTAAGGTTTTCAGATTTTTATACAGCATAACATCCGACAACGGTTCAAACTTCCTTTAGTCCTACTGTACACCAACATAAGAGACAACAGAGATTGAAACCATTTCATTTAAAAATTTGTGTCGATGAGACAGTTTCAGCAACTCCTGCATACCGGTACAAATAAAGCTGGAGGAGGCACATCTGCAACAGGAGGGGAGCACTAGGAGAGAAACCTGTGCTCCTCAAAGACCACATGTGACATAACCCACATGTTTGCGACTGGAGAGTAAATATTGGCGCAGGTGCGATTAGAATTTTTGGTAATTAGTAACAGAAGACAATTTAAAAATGAGTAGGTTCTTACTAGTATTTCTTAAGTGTCTCACATTGTAGTTTATCTGCTGTATTACTGATCCTGAATGTATGGATCACTGACTGACAGTCCACCAGCAGATCTCCGCCTGCAGCCTGGGGAGGACCCCGTGCCAGAGCAGGTAGACGCCCAAAGGAGGCTGTGACCCCATGGGAAGCCCATGCTGGAGCAGGCTCCTGGCAGGGCCTGTGGACCCATGGGGGACCCACACCGGAGCAGTTCATGAAGCTCCCTCTGAGGAGGAAGGAGCAGCAAGGATGTGTGATGAACAGACTGCAACCCCCATTCCCCATCCCCCTGCACCACTCAGGGGGAGGAGGAAGTAGAGAATTGGGAGTAAAGTTGGGCGTAGGAAGAAGGGAGGGGTGAGGGGAAAGTGTTTTAAGATTTAATTTTTATTTCTCATTACCCTACTCTGGTTTGATTGGTAATAAATTAAACTGATTTCCCCAAGTCAAGCCTGTTTTATGTTTACCCATGTTGGTAATTGCTGAGTGATCTCTCCCCGTCCTTATCTCAACCCACAAGCTTTTATTTATATTTTCTCTCCCCTGTCCAGCTGAGGAGGGGGAGTGATTGAGCAGCTTTGATGGGCACCTGGCATCCAGCCAAGGTCAACCCACCACAGGTAGATAGCATACAACTGCCAAAGAAATAAATCAAATGTAAAAAAGATACACCTAAATAGCTTGCTTATTGCATTCCTTAAAAGATATTTTTGTACTGATCATTTTACTGCTAGTTACTGTGACGAACAGAACTAATAGTTCTACTTAGTCAGGAAAGAAAAAAAAAAATCTGGCTGTATTGTATTTTGTATTATTCTTTCTCCCCAAAAATAGTTTTTAGAAGTATTCCCCGCAATTACAGTAGAAAGAAACACTGTTTCAAGATGTTAACTCCCTATTCATAGCATGTGAAAGTTGCAGAAGCTCTCCACGCCTCAGGTACCTGGAAATAATCCTCACCAAGGTGGGATCAACTATCATGATTTCTAGAGCAGCAAGGCAGAACTCATGTTCTGACCTTTAATCTCCAGGCTGACCTTTAATAAATCTGCAATTAAACCATGCATTGTCAGAGCCCTTCACCCCTTCCAACCACCCATAGCTAACACAGAAAATTCAATTACACAGCACCCCGAACAGAATTTTTCTGAGGTTTCTCATGCCCGTACCACCCCCAGCATTCCTCCTACCCTTCCATGGAGAAGCACACATTGCAGTTTAGTAAACGGTAGGGCTCTATACAAAAAACCTTTTCCCCATGTATTTTACTAACAGACAGAAACTTGATACTTACGAATATAAAGTCAGTTTATTCAAATCATTGTGCATATTGAAGGCATACACTTCTCCCAAATGAAAAAGCTTTTCCAATGCCTCATAAATAAATATGATGCATATAAGCGCTGCAAAAGCTTCCTCAGTAAATCGAGTGATGTAACACACGAGGCTACTGGCATCTGTGGCAACAAGCACTATGCATAGAAATGCAGTCCACAGACCAATGCTAGTTCGCAGGGAGAGGTAGGACAGACCATAATCCCTGTGTGAAGAAAGAAACAAAAGTATTAACCGAGACAAATGTCAGCTATACTATATTCTATTTGAAAGCAGATACTGAGGCCAAGTTCTATAGGTATTCACCATTTTTCTCATCCTTGATGTTAGTTCTGAAAGAAGCAGAAACTTTTCCGTCCCATCTTCCACCAAAGCAAAGCAACACTGCAAGGTGTTCCTAGGACTGGGGGTGAACTACCTAGCTTGGGAAGCATCACAGGGATGATCTTTCCAGAACTACCCAGACTCTTTCTCCAAGAGGGCAGATCAATCCCTGTTTACCCCTGCAGAATCAAAGCCAACATCTCCGCACAGTCAGAACATAACTTTTATTTAAGTCCTAGCCACTTCTTATCACTGATTTTCTCATTAAGGCTCACCAGTGCCTCACAGCTTTGCCAAACCACGTCCACCTCTCAATCTCTTGCTGCTGCATTTACATCTTCGTGGACATCCACTTTTAACACACAACTGCTTTCAATTACAGCTATTTTAACAGGCTAGAAAGTTAGAAGATGTACCAAGCCAATGCAAACATCACTTACCTGCAAAATTTAAATAGTATTTTTTCGAACACTAGAACTGGTCCGGTGCTCCCCAAAATAGTAAGAGGTTGCCCAGCAAAGAGAGAATAGGCAATCCCAGTTAATGAGGCTCCAAAGAGAGACTCTATTGCACTCTGTTTGGGGGAAAAGAAACTGCTGTAACTATGCTGCCTTTCAGGTTAGCATTTAGCATCACATCTGCATAAATACAGTTTTAAGATGCATTAACTTAGAAACAAGACAAGATGTAAAAACACTGCAATTAATATTGATGTTTGAGACAAGAATAACACAGTTTTGCAGTAACAATATCATGGACATAAGATTTTGAAAACTTCACCCCTGAGAAACATAAAGCCATCCAAAACCATGAGAACAAGTTACTAGTCCTGCTAGCTATGGAGGAAAAACATACCAACAATTACCACAAATTTAAAAGGCAAAAAGAAGTTACTGAACATGTATTTTATAGAAAGAATTATCTGTCTCTGTAAAGAAAATAGATATCTATCTATCTATCTATATCTCTCTCGCAACATACCTGTACCAAAACATGATACGGTGTGCCGTACCAAACCTGCATCAGTCAATCAAGCATTACAAAAGAAAAAACACTGACAGGCGGAAGTGCAGGGGAAATTACTGAGCAATATTGGTTTATGTATACATGACACCAAAAATAGATGAGCAGTAAACCAATGTCCCACCTGGTAATGCATTTCTTTTCACTGAAGTAAGATATCTACTTCACTTCTTGAAATAAATGTTTTATTATAACATTTTTCTGTTTTAAAAAAAGTTACAGTGCACCTCATAAGAGAGGGGTAGGACTTTTTAGATCCTAAAATGGTAATAAAGTTACTTGAAAATAGTTGACTACACCATTTACAACTATGAGAAATCATGGATTACAGGTTAAAGTGTTCCTGGTGGAATTTTTAAGTGTGTGCTACTTTGCAATTATGCAAGCCTAAGAAAACAGTATTTATGCAAACTTAAGCTCCAGTTCAGGAAAGCATCTAAAACTGGGCAAAATGGTTTGCTGAACTGGGGCTATTAAAAAGGAAAAAAAAAAAAAAAAAAAAAAAAAAAAAAAAAAAAGAGAGTCCTTTGTTCATTACATTAGAAAAAAAAAATAATCCCAGTCTCTTGTTCTATTACCTCTGAATTAGTGCTTTCAGTTAGTCAATGCATTAACCTGGGGGATCTCAAGCAGGGTGGCAGGGATAGGAGTACTGTGGATGTGATGACCTCTGGGAATGTGAGGAAAGGTTTCAAACACAAACCGTGTACCTTACAGTGTCAGCTACTGTGCTTGAACATTTGTGTGCAGTAACTAAATTTTATATTCAATGATGCACACCAAGTATCTGAAGGCAGGAACAAACCCGCAAATAATTCCAGATAGCTAAAAGAAAGAAGGTGTTTAAGAATCAAGCCTTAAAAGGAGCATATTTTCATAATTATACATTATATACATTCAAAAATTACATTGACATGTTGATAACCATTCCTACATTTAGAGTAGCAAAAACAGCACACAGCAAAAAAGCAACTTATTTCTGTATTTGCTATCAGCTTCAAGTGCTACATCAATAAATAAAAATCTAAGTCAACAGCATTACTTGACAGAGATAAAATAGTTAACTAGATTTTAATATAGTACAAGGTTAAAAACTTCATCTAGGCATCAAGAAAAATTTTATAGCATCATAAGTTTTACCAGGATCTTAAAACTTGTAAAGGACATGTCTGAATACATCCTTCCCTCCCCCAAAAGGACAGAGACTTGATTCTTCATGATAGATTTAAAAACAGAAAATACACTTCAAACTAGTTTACTCACAAGCCAATTGACACAAACACTAAGTTATTAACGTTGCTGATGTTAAGTATTCTTTCCCTGCTCCAAAAACCAAAGTGCAATAATATTTTGGTTAAAAAGGTTCTAGTTTTAACTACTGCCCAACATAACACTACCAAAATTTGTTAAGTGTACGGTTTATACTCTCTTACAATGAAGAGTATTTTCTGCTCATAAACCTTAGCCACTTTCTTTCATAGTTAACAACATACCATTAGTGAAAGCATATACATATCCTGTCCGTTACTTAAATACACAATTGGCGGCTACCCATACACTGCAGGCATTATCATCCTCGTAGGCCTACTACTCAAGGCCAATACATGTTCTTGGCTATCCACCTTGAGCCTCTGACTTTGCCTAAAGTAGGCCTAGTGGGATGGTGCACCTTTACTGCTGTTCATTATTTTTAAGTAGCCAAAAAGAAGGCAATGCAAGCCCTTTCTCAATTCATGAAGCCATTCATCCAATAAGGCAGGATAAACATTTTTTACCTCCACTGTGCATCTTCTCCTGTTCACATGGGTTCCCCACATTTTCCACAGCAATTACCTTTTGGGGAAGATCTGCTTTGGGCAGGCTAATCAAGTGCTGTGGGTAAATTCTTCACATACAAGTATAAATAAATGAGACAAATGCACACAGTGACTTGCCTCTGAAGGTCTAAAAGCCTGTCCACTACCATTCTTTGTACTCACTATTCTGCCTTGTGTAGCTTCTCCCAGGAGCCCTCCAAAAGTGATTACAGGAGACATACAGGCACAGTATAGGAAAAGAATCGAGGCCAGGCACTGCAGGCTTAATGCATCCTTGAAGTCACTCAAGAAAAAAGGTGCTTTCCTTTGGATGTCAAGTATCAAACCACCAAAAAGCCTAAATAGGTGAGATGAAACTCGTCAAACTGTACACTAAAGGATTCTAGCTAGTTCAAAACTATGGGCTACACATGACTGCCAGTGCCTATTGCCAGCACAAATTAGCTATTTCATAATCCAGATTAAAGCATAACAGTTTAAAATGTAAACAAGAATCTTATCTATTCCAATTCAGTAGTATTCCAAATATAATCAAGCAGGTTATCCACAATTTTAAAAGCTGGCTAGGTATTTTTGTATATGGGCTAGATACTGAAAAAAACATCTTTGCAAATGATTTACCTAAATAATGTTTTACATCAAACATGTCTTCTAATATTCAAAACAAGGAACAGAAGAAATATGCTAAACCTCAACCAACACCACTGCATTGCTACGTTTCAATATTACTAATCCAATAAGTAGTTGTAGCTTTTTGATTCAAATTCTCTACATACATATGATTAGGTCCATAAATAAATTTAGGTCTATCATTCTTAACAGTGTTTTCACCTAGAGTATACAGATATCCTACAAATGGAAATACAAACCCAAACATATAAAAGTCAGTTCAATTGGGTAAGTTATTAGAAAGAAATTAAAAAGCTTTTGGCAGTTTCAAAAAAAATTTCAAGACTCCAAAACACTACGTATAATTTGCACCTACAAAAAAAATTATTATGTTGGATTATTAAAAAAAAATCCATCCCTAAGAAAAACAATAGTCTCCTCTAGAGATAATTCTGTGGGCAGAAATGAAGTACTCAGCTCCACATACTGTCTGCATAAAGGCAAAAATTAAGTGTAACAAAACCAAAATGGTAAAATTCAACACAAATGTAAAGTCCTTCTTGCAAAGATATAAGGAAGATGCATTTTGTTTGGAAGTTTATAGTTTTGGGGATAACAACACTGAACATCTTTTCCAGAATTTCTCAGAATTAACAGAGAACAACAATGCAACTCAATCAGAAGAAATTCTTTCCATTTTATTTTAGATCTAAAAGAAACCTAACCAAAACTGAAACCTAACCAATACCAAAGTATTTTTTGCAACTTTATATTCCTTCTTGCTCCATTTTGTCCATGTTTAATAAAATAGATTTGCATTAATGGGAATTTTTAGTACCTAGCCCAATACTGCAAACTGCATATTCCTGCTATAATTACGATAATTGCATGCTCTTGATAATTAAAAATTATAACCCAACTCTAAAATGTCAGTTAGTTAAATTAGGCAGCATCTTATATGAAATCCTTCATAAATGTGTTGAGAAACATTGCCACAAGCTTGAAAATGGTTTAAGTACATTGGCATTTATAGGCAAGAATTCAACACTTGAAAAGGAAAAAGGATGCACTCTGACACTTATACCATTATTTTTTATGTTCAAATGACATCATTAAAAATTGTGAAGATTTATGACTTTTATTTCTTTATGGTAGCTAGTATTTAGGGAACTGAACACACCTTCCAGTTCTCTCAAGTTCAGGTCCAGCATGATGGCCTTCTTCTTTGAGAGTCTCTCCTGTAGGAGTAGATCCATTTGGAAATTTAGGTACCTTCCTTTTCTCCTAAAAAAAAAAAAAAAAAAAAAAAAATCATACTTTCACACTGTCTTTATACGGAAAGGCATAATTCAAAGACAGTGTGCAGAGACTCTATGCCTTCCAAAGCTTTTTTCATATTCCCAACTTATCAGCAGTCCTCCATTTGCCAAACTCATCTTTTGTTGAATACAGACGACTAAAACTGTACAACAATCCCCAAAAGATCTTATTAGTACCTTGCACAACAGCCTTAATCTTCCCTCTTTCTACAAGAAATATGTCCCTGACACAGGGTGAAACAAAGCCTGCCTTTTCAAGACCCAGTAGAGGCTCAACCATGAGGCCTGGAAATCTTTGGATTTTTTTTTTCCTGAATCATTTCCAGAGCAGAAGCCTCTAGCTTCTAACAGAAACTGATCTCACTTTATGACTCAAACAGTATTTAGCTGAAGTATAAATGAGAAGTCATTCCCCTATTGAGCAAGCTGCTCACCAGCTCCTCAAAATTTCTCAGCCAAGCTTGCCTTCCAAAAACCCCTGAGCCCTGCTTATTTTGGAAACAAGTTAAGTGGTGGCCTCAGGCTATTCATGAATAAACTATACTGCTGCCACCCCTTCCGTTCCACCCACTCCCCCAAACCACCACTGGATTCAATACCAACATCAACCTTCTGAATCAAGAGCACTGGTCTCTCCCCCGACTTTTGATCCTGACAGAAAGAATTTCCCTCAGGTGTAAAGAGGAAGAAAGGGAAGAAATCAGAGTCCCTCTAAGTTCCGGCTTCCCCCTGGCTCTCATCTAACACTTGTATCACAACTGAGTGATATGACACAGTTTTATCTATTTCATAAACTTTCTGTGAACATTATAAGCTAGTCAGCATACATCAAAACATTTCAATCAATGCTGTATGCAAATAAAAGTTTTTATAAGAATTACAGTATTCTTGCTGATCCCTGTTAGATTAATAAGAGCATTTGTAACATGAACTCAGATACAATTTCAAACCAATTCTCCTAGATCTTACATGAACTCATTGCAGTATTGCAAAAGGAAATCTAGTGAATACAATTTACTTAAATGCATAGCAGGAAATTGATCCAACACTTTTTTTTTTTTTTTTCCTCCTTTTACCTGGGAAGGAACACTTTTTGGTGGCTCAATTCGTATAGATGGATCCCATTCTCCTGGAGGCAGGACTGTCACTTGGTCTAAAAATTCATCAATTCCTGACAACAAATCATTTCGGTCTTTTGCTTTATAGGCAACATCATGGAAAACCTACAAGAAGAAAGTACCCAACATACTCTTTTTGGGTTTTTTTTTGAAAGAGGAACTGATTACAAGAAACACTTCATTATTTTTAAAAAGGCATGGGAAATTTTTTTAATGGTCCTCAAAACTTAGGCTTTTACTTTGCTTGCATTATTTTGTATTAGGAACTAACTGCATGCACATCCCTATGGAACATAAAATAAGGAAGTTGTATCCAAACTCAAAAGAAATATTGAGTTCAATTCTAAAATTAATTGAGTTAACCTTCAATGCTCAGGAAATGAAGTTCACATACTACTGCGTGAATAATTCTGCCCCATTGCCACTGTGCCACTATGCTGTGCTAAATCAGGACAAAAATACTTTAAATAACTTTCAATCCAAACCACAAGTTTTAATTAAGAATAGGAACTTCATTTGTATGCCTCTAGCTTAACTTTGAAAGACTTCTTAAAAAGCACACGAAAGCAATCCTACTAGTACTCAAAAAACAGCCAAAAAACCACCCCATGCTGTTTTCAATGATGATTTCAATGATCTACAGTATTCCTAAAAATCAGCCTACCTAAAAAAATTAGAAGCTGCAACTAAAGCTTATAATATTCACTTCTCACACTGAACAAACTGTATTCACAGACTCGTGGCCCAACTGTAAAATGACCAATTTCTAGTTTACATTTCCAAACTTTAAATTGTTCTTTACTCAAGAAATATTAGAATTTCTGCTAGATAACCATAATAATTGCCAGCAACTCAGTAGGTGGCGCTCAATGCAAAGGCAGAATCAAAACATCCTGATTTTTGCTCAGTAAGATGACAAGTCTTAAAAAGTATGGATTCCCCGGTGCTCTTTAAAACTGACCACCAGGGCTCTAAGCATATGACTTCAAATGCCTAGTAAAATTCTAAGTTTAATTATATGACCTCGCTTTGACAAAAAAAAAGTATCTGCGATGACTTAATTGCATGCTTTCTTAAAACTTTCAGTCCTGAACACTTACGCAGTTTGCTGTGTGCTTTTCGACATACAGTGATTCATATCAGATACAGTTCAATTTCAGAGTTCTATTTCCTAATTTGATACAAAAATTCAATCTATACACCAAAGCTGAAATGTTTTTTTCAGAAATACATTTAGGATTTCTTCAAGAAAGACAAGGACAAAAGTTAATTTACCATTATCTAGTTCACTAACACAAAAAAAATATTTAAGTTCTTCAGTTCTTCATTCAACCAGTTTTGCTTTTTTTTTTCTTTAAGCTGTCACTCCAGAATATGTTTATTGAAAACAGTTGGTAAATACATTATTCTAGACTCCTTTAACTACAAGTCTTTAAAATAAATTACTCACATCATCTGTCATAAGTGTTGCTATTGATCTTCCAATTTCATGGTACTGTGGAGCTTTTCCTGCTGGTCCCAGCAACAAAAACAAAAACCTGTGGAGAAAGCAATGGAGGTGAATACAGCTGACTCATTTGAGTATACTCAGAGGGTTCTTTCAAACTAATGTTTAAAGAAAATTTGGTGGTGAAGTAGAAGTATCTTCTTCACCATTTCACATCCTAAAGACCGCTGCAAGACTAAGAAAAGACTCGCCTCAAAGTCATTACTTGGAAAGAACTTGAATCCTGACCCAAAATTGCTTCAAAATCATCTTAATTGAGCCAAATTTTTCAACCTCTTAGAATGCCATAAATGTAGTAGAAATCCACAGGCTTGAGCTCAGTGAGTATTTCCTCCAGATTATGAGCCTTTCTGACATTGTCACTGATAAAGACCCCTTAGTGAGGGCCTAGGAGCTTTATGACCTGTTCTAGCCTCCTGGACAACCACCTCTTCACAGGAGTTAAACCCCTCTCACTTGCAGTAACTGAGTACATCACACAGCTGATGCACAGATATACTTAAAGCAACACACTGGACATACTCATATAGGCATATCCTCGTCCTGTGTGAGTGGAAAGGAAGGGAACCTGCATTTTGAACAACCAAGAAGGTAAAACTGACGTTTTTGTCAGTTTGGGAAGGGAAGGGAATCCAATCTGGGGGTAGGTCGCAGCATACATTAACAGCCAGTCTCCATTTCCAATCACACTCATTTAAAAAAACACAAACAAACAAAAAAAAAAAAAAACACAAGCAAAAAAAACCCCTTCAACAGGACTAGTATCTGATCAATTCAAAAGGATACGAACCAAGAGTGAACCTCAGTAATTCTTTTCACAACCTTCTTCTTATACTCCATGAAAATGAAGTTCTAAGAACAACACATTTGAAAAAAGTTGTGTCTGTTTTCACCTCACAGTACAAAAAGCTCAATCTCATTTTTGCTTTGCAAGCTGACTACCCTAACTGAAACTGAGATTGCATCTTCAGAATCAAGTATGCTATTACAAATCTGCAAGTCTACACCATTCTGAAAAATTCAGGATAGATAGGATAATTTTAGCTGCATTAATACAATAATCTGTATGCAGACATTTTGGAATTTCCCAAGAAACATTATGAGCACTAATGCCAACTACCCTCTGAAAATTCTCACATCTATTTATAAGAACACTGCCAAGATTATTTTTGCCTTTCATTAGACTATATGAGCTGAAAATTACAAAGATAAACAGGCACTTTGATCACTTTTAAAACATTAAACAAAAAAACCACCAAAAAACATAAATGTACAAATTCATGCCAAACACCACAGAACAGCCCAATACATCAATGTGCACAGAAAATGAAGTGTCCTCTATGACGACTAATGAAATTACCTGCTATCTGCATCACGGGACCTGCAGTTTGACATTTTGATCGTCTGTGGTAAATACACCCACAGTATACTGGCGAGACCCATGATTTGGGTGTGGGGGGTGCACCAGGCTGGATGGCATATTGAAGACTGAAAGCCAATTCAATGTATTAGCTACAGATTGGTTACCCCAGTGTCAATCATGTAGATTTGGGCATATAATAAAAAAAGCTAAGTTTTTCCACTGCCTAGGTTATTCATATACAAAGCATTTGTATGCCTTCTTTAAAATGGCAACACAAGCTTGGAAGTCTCACTCCTTTTACTCCAGGTCAGCTATCCATTCCAACTTCTGCACTTACTTAAGACAGCATCATTACGTATATTGAAAGCATTCAGAGACTTTTATGGTGAATCTCATTCCTTCAAATTTTGCAGCAAATGACTGGCATGACTTTAAACAAAAGTCTACATTTCTTGAGCTTAATAGAGTACGTATAAAAATGTACAACTATTTGAGATCTTAAATATTATTATCTTGTTGTATAAGTAAAGCCAGACTTCCCAGGCATTTATTTACCGTGTAGGAACCGGAACCTCTGTGAGACCTGAGAGAAGCACAGCAGGGGAGAGCCTCACAAAAGCAATAATAGGTCTTTCTAAAAAATCTACTTCTCCCACTAACACATTTGATGCTTCTGCTCCCGAAGGAATTTTCCTCATGAAGTTCATATCAACCTATTCATACAAAGATGAAACAAGTGTTTATTCCCTTACATTTGTTAGCAGAAATTCTATAACATAATTATAAGTTTATCAGTATTTACTAGACATTTATGCTACAAAGAAAAATAAAAAGCAAATTAAATATCCCACAGTACAGAAAAGACAAACATATGTAGAAAATGTCAGCCAATTAGCCAACTAAAAGTTAGAATTACTACCACCTGCTATATTCTAGAAGACTCCAAACTGCATAACCACCCTTCTAATATTACTTATCATGACAAACATTCCATGATAGGACATAACTTAACAAAATCTATACACAATTAACTAAGGAGAGTTCATGTAATTACACATGGTTTCTAGAATGCAATTAGTTATTTCACAGCTGCATATTTCAATTATGTCATAATTTTGAAAAATAATTTGTATCTTTATGTTTTCATCCATAAAGAATATGATGGCTGAAAAAAATCTTAACTTTCATTTCTGTACATAATTACAGAAGAGTATTAGAAAATGGTACAGCACATGAACTCTATGTTCACATACATACACACACACAAGCACCAGTTACATTGCTATCTAGAGAACTTACAGATGGCCTCTTGAGTCCCACACCAAGTGTGCCACAACTACAGTGCCAGGAGGCTGACTCCTGCCCAACAGGAGACAAGGCAGGTGTACAGAAGGACAGGCCAAGCAAAAACATAAAAACTGTGACAGAGAGGCAGGAATAAATGGCACCTGCCGTGATTAGGTGAGAACTACAGTGAAAGTTAGCTTTCCTTAAACATAATCATTTAACTTGGCAAAGCAATTTTCTTCCAGTGTTTCACAGTACAGATGACACTACAGACTGAGTTTTATAGTAAAAGTCATAATGGAACTTGCCCAGCAAATTTAAGAAATACAAGGGATTTACAGTATTACACAAGATTTCCTTCACAAAGTGGTATTATATGCTCCTAATGATTAAGATGTACAATAACTTTTGTACAACAAACTGATAAAACATATAAAGCAAATCTCCTTAAAAAGCCCTCTTTACAACAAAACCCCAAAAAGTCAGTTCTAGAAAGAATTGTCACACCACCATCTACAAAGTTATTTTCATAAGAGTCTTTATAGCAGGTCTGAAAATATCTCCCCCTGTGCATGAGAAAGTACAGCAGCTGCACTCTTTAAATAAAATACTGAAAAGATCAAACAAAGTAGAAAGTTCAGTCCCACTGGGAAGTTTCAAAACATTTGACACATTTAGCCTATGCTGTATTTTGACACTTGTACATCTAAGTTATGCCTTAGTACATATGTCTTGTGTACACTCGTACACACGCATACGTATATGTGTCTTAGTTGTAACTATGAGGGCAGTTACAACCACCACAATTTTTATTACATAGTTATCTTGTACTAAACATTAAGGGATCTAATGTTATTTACCTTACTAAAATCAACCGTGCTGTTTTCTCTGCTTCCTCCTGTCCCAGTACCTTTAACGTCTCCACTTTTCCCAGTGTCTAAATTTCCAGGTGCTGACTGTGGAGATGCTAACAGCCCTAAATTAAAACAAAGGAGAAGTTCAAAATGGTGTATGAAGTGAACTGAGTATGTGACACTACCAAAACTCAATGTGGCAGCTTGCTTAAAGCAAATGTGCAAGTTATTCAGTAAGAGTGCCCTACATTAGTATTGTAAATGCAACATTAACAAGTCACTGTGTTGTCAAAATAATGACATAATTAAAAAAAATTAAAATTAAGTATTGCCCAAATGATGGCCATTTGCAGAACAGTCACCAGAAAAGAAAACAAGAACTACTTTAATTGTAGAAAATATAGTAAGTGTCGACATTTTAATCATTACCGCTCTAGTAGTTAGTAGATAGCATCTTCACTATATTTAGAAGTCCTCAAACACCAAAAGCAAACATCTCCGCTATCTAGAGTCTGCTGTGTAGCAGTTATTTCGATTGTAAAAAGCCTCAGCAAGCCTCAGGCTACAACAACTACAAGGAATGATACCTTGGTAGTTAACTAAGCCTGTACAAGTAAATAGTGTACTACGTGAAGGATAGACAGCTCGCAAACCATGATTTTGATCAACAGACCAAAGTTCCAACTATTGATCCAACCAGATGTTGCTATATGAAGCGGTCTCTCTAACACGTTAGCTAGAGGCACATTATACAAGTTAAATACACAGCTTCCCTCTAACATCTGCACTATGACATCATTTTATGTAGCTTGCCAGGCTACTAGCAGCACTGAATTGCAGGTTCACTGAAGGGTGCAAAAGTCAAGTAACCCAGGTGTTCATACACACTGAATTCCATGTTGCACCATGGTTATCTCTACCCAGCTATCATTCTATCATTTGAAAGCTGGTCTAGGCATGCACAACCAAGCACAAATCCCATCTTTTGGATTACAGAGCTTTTACTTGTTCAGTTTAACGTGCACTAGAAGTGAATTTGGCCTTGCTTGTCTACACTAAACCTTTCAGATGTGGTGATAAGCATGCTTTAACATGCTTTCAAAACCACATCGAGACAAAGACTAAAGTCTAAACATTGCATTACACGCAGAAAGTTTGTATTTAGGTCAAGCATCACTCTAGTCAAGATAAAACCGAAGTCCTTCACTGGCTACCTTTTGGCTATTGTTCTATCATTAACTACTGCTGCATAACTACTTGCATCCCCCCATGTTTACAATTTAGCAATTTGATATTTTTTAGCATTTCAAATGACAACTGAATTAGCTTTCTTTGATCCCCAAATTTATTTCCAAAAAACTCTTTCAAAGAGCCATCATATCAATGGAAAACATGCAGGTCCAAGCCTTTACCATTAATTTTCATTCTTACAGTTCATAGGGATATAAGTGGTGTGAGTAGCTTTTCCTGAAGCAAAAAGCAAATGAAGTTAATAACCTGCAATTACCTTTGTGAATCCTAACATGCACAGGTAATTAGCTAAGACTATAAATACTATATTCAGTTAGCTAGACCCAAAAAGAAAAAAAAAACAAAATCACATTCTACCCTTCTGCTCCAAGATCTATGCATTATTCACAAGAATAACTAACAGCAATCAACCACCTGTGAAATCAGCTGTTCAAAGTATTTAACTGCATAAGAGTTGATGTTAAGATGTGTTTGTACGACTAGAAAGAGAACAGAAATAGTAAACAGTTGTTGCAGAAGACAACCATAGTATAAAGTTTATATATATGATCTTTTTTCACTTCCCCCCCCACATAACAATAAAGGCAGCTAAAGACGTGTATGACTGATGCAAGATGAGCAATAATGCATCATTTTACTCTTTTCACCATGTGAGCAAGAGCAAGCAGAGACTAGAACAAAAAGTGGAGAGACAATCAAGGAGGAGGACAGAGAATAAGGATTCTACATATTACCATAAAATAGTTTATTATTTCAGTACTGAAGTGGTATTAATTCTTCGATAAGGTTTGCTTTCAAAATTTTCCAACCAGTCACAGTTAAGGTCCACAAGTTTTGGCACTGATACAGGAACATTTGTCTGATCCTAAACCATGTGTAAATAGTTTTCCTTTCTGTTGGTCTGGCAGTTGGACAGACTGCTGCGCTCACATGAGAATACTGCTTACAGGTTTTCAGACCTGAGCAAGCATTTCCATGCGATACTGCACTTCATTATGCACATCAATCAATCTGATACTTGCAGGGAAACTCAGAATAAAAAATAGCCATTGCTAACAATGGAACACTTTTACACCAATCTTACATTAATAGAAGAACTTATTTCCTTCTCTTCTCTGGATCAGTAGATAGAAACTCAAGAGGCTTCTGCTAAAAGGGAAGCTACCTAGTTTTTCCAGACTGTGACAGAAAAATTACTCTAGTCTTACCATGCTACGGAGGGAATCATTAAAAATATGCAGTTCTCTTCCTGATGTTGTTATATAGATATACTACCTGCCTCCTTTGAAAAACATCAGTGGATTGAGTCTTGAGTAAGTCTAGATTAAAACCTCATAATATCAAAGTACTACAAAGTAACTACACCTTTACTAAAGACCATGTGCATTTTCTACCCAACTACACTTAGTTTAATACTGTGCATCACAAAAATGTAATGGACATTATCTACTGGAAAAAGAAAGCAAGAAGAATACAGACATTTTCCTGGCATCTCCACTTCAGTTAGTAAAAAAAAAAAAAGTTGGGGGAATTTAGTTCAATACCTAAGCATGACTTTTCCAATATTATTATGTTTATACAGGCAAAAAATTATGACATACAAAACTTCTAAATAGAAAGTCACACCATATTTGTGTTTGAAAAAATAAAAATCTAATTTTCAAAAATAAATTCCAATGCAGCCTTAATGCAAAAAAAAATTAGAAGGCAAATATGTAAACCTTTCTGAATTACTATTTTTCAGTAAGTAATTACTGTAAGAGCAAAGCTGTTCTAAATAGTATTTTACTCAGTTTTAAAGTACATTTATCAGTGCACTAAGAGACCCCCTGAAACAAGCTGCCTTGCTGTTGTTCACAGACATTAACAAAGCTTAATGATGCTGGTGAACAGCGTTCACCTTTAGCTGTGACAGATCTCTTCCTAGCTCTACCTACAGAATACATTATTCAACAGTTTCAAAGATCGGAAAACAAAAGCTGTCCTTGAACTGATGACAAATGAAAAAAAAAATTTTAAAGAGAAACCTTTGCCTGGCTGACTCACTATGAACTGATGCCTGGCTGATTAAAAAAAAAAAAAAAAAAAAAAATCAAGTGGTAGACTGAAAGTGTGCCCCTCTTTCCTCCTTTTACAGTAATTCCCATTAAGATCAGTAACCTTCCAGCTATTTATAAAGACTAAAAAAATAAAATCTGGATAGCAGAAGGACAAGGATAGATGAACGCTAAACAGAAGAAAGCTATCTATTAGAAAATTAAAACAGTTCCTAATTCTTCCAGGAGGCAAACCCAACTCAATCACACAAACATGGAAAAAGCATTCAGGCTTTAGTACAGACCATAACCTGTAGTGGAATGGACCAAGAAGATTTTTTTTTTTTTTTTTTTTTTTTTTTTAATTAACACAAGGAAGATGACTTAATCTTCAGGGTTCCCTTCTGAGTCTGTCTCCCAAGACAGAGATTAGTCCAGTTGCAGCCCTGAAGTCATAGTCTGAGAATGTCTTCAAAGGCATTTCTAAGGAAAATGCGTCTTTCTGAGGTCAGATGATTTTTTGAATTAAAAAGGGGGGGAAACCCAGAAAAGAAAAGCTTCTTCTGTCATTATTGGTGTTCATCTTTCTAGAGAAAATACTTTTCTTTCTGGATTAAATGAGAAATCATCCATTCAGATTTTTCCTTTATGAGAAACATCCCCTTGAGGCACAACAGCAATCTGAACATGATGATTCTGGTGGAAAGCTTTATTAGTGATAATAATAGCATCAAGTACTTGATCTTCATTCGTTTACCTTCTCCTGGGTTCTAAAGACCTTGGGTCTGGCATGCTGTCATTCCTGTCAGATGAGTAGAAAAATGAGAACTGGAAAACCAATTACAGCTGTTATTTTACTTCTGTTTTTTAATTACATTTGAAAGATTATCCATGAGACAGAACGATCTTCATGTGAATTCTCTTAAATTCCCATAAGGAAGTCAGAGAAAGAGTTTTTTGTTTGTTTTTCTGAATTTAAGTAAGGATGGGGCTCCTACTCCAACTCAAGATGACAGCCTACAACATAGTTTGCTCTTTCCTTTTCAGTGACTTGGCTGCAAAATGTGAAAGACAGATAACCACAGCCTTTTCTCTGTCAGCGTATTTTCACTGCTGTATGTAACAATGTGCTCTTACTTATTAAACAAGTGAGGAAGGAAACCAAGAAAAGCCTCACTGATGAAAAAATTGAGTGAAATCAGCTCCTCACCAATACCCATAAAGCCGACAAACCTGCAAGCTAGATTTTGGCAAGGTAAGTTTCTGAAACGGGGAGGGGAGGCAGGAAATGCAGGAGGAGCCTAAAGGCTAAAAAGAAAGGTGATCCCCTTAAAACATGATTTATCTAAGAGAATCCCAAAGTCTCTAAATAGATGATAATTTTGCAAAAGTAAGGCAAGTGTAAATGGTATGTATGGAGAATGCAGGAGTTATGAAAAATGTACTAAAAATTATTAAAGAAACTCAGAAATTTCCATCCTTTCTTTCAATTTATGTCTACATCTACATACACTTTTACATATAAAGAACAATAGCTTTGCAAGACAACAAATTAGTAAGTTCCTGAGCTCTGACCTACAATTATAAACTCTTAACTACCTTATCCTATTTTGCATATCAAACACAACCAAACAGTAATCAAGTGCCCAATGCTGAAGCAGTGCACTAACGGATAGCTACCTGGAAACAGTTGTAGGTGAACTGAACTTGCCCCTTCCTACTACTGGTTTTAATGGCCCTGATTTTTAAAAGCACAAAAGCAAAAATAAAACTGCTTAAAGACTTCATGATACAACTAAACTATGACCACCACTAATTATTGCATCCTTCCTAATTCTTTTCATACTCATCTCTAATACTTCACTACGTCTTCTGATGTAGCTATCCCAGGATATCAAACACTTGTTTAAAATATTACTTGAACCACTGACAAAAACAAAGCAAAACCTGACATGGACTGTAGGTGAGTGAAAGGAAAAGGCCACCATTTTTGACATTTTATATTTTAAAACCATATTCCCTTTTCATTACACAAATGAAGGTTAATTAAAGAGGTTTTTTGCTGGCTTTAGTTAAAAGCTAAAAAGTTAAAAATGCCGAATAAGAAAACAGTCACAACTGAGAAGAAATAAAACATGCAGGCAGAGCTAACAGTTATCATATTCCTTTGTGCCCAAGTTACGTGCCAAAAACATCGCAATGCAAGTGATCCAGATGCAGAGAGCATCACACATGGACAGCTTAAATTTTGATAGTTGCCTGGTATTTTGTCAATATTTTCCTGTGTCTTCTTTTCCTGGCTTTCCTGCACTTCTATGTCCTCCTCAGGTGGGTGGATTATTACTGAAGGAATATCATCACTGGCAGGTGACACCAGCAATTCCTTGCCCTGAAGTGGATTTGGCTGGGCACTTGTGGTTGGCGGGTGGCTGCAGGTGGGGCTGGAGGGTGGTGTGTTTTGAGGGGTAGTTACAGGGGTTGTACACCTTGAGGTTGCCGGGGTTCCAGCTCTTGAAGAAGGAAGAAGGTAATTGAGAAGAACTGACAAACGGTTTTCTCCTCTCAGGGAAATATTTGAGGCAGAGAGACCTGTTCGCAAAGAGTGGCGGGAGGCTGAAAGGCCTTCCCCTGAGATAAAACAAATGAAACACCATGAGGCTTACAACAGGGATATACTAAAAAAAACCACAGACACAAATATGCATCAACAATTTACATAGTAAATTGCAAGCTTTACGGGCCAAAAAGTGTCATACTCATGCAAGTAAGACAAGAGATAAGAGCAAATCTGATTTCAGACATTAGAAAAGTCAGAAATTACTCATGAGTACTAATTAGAATGCCAAAGATACGTGGGAGAAGATATTATCTTAAAGTCAGTAAGATTTGTTAATGTAAGAAAAAAAAAAAGTATCGCTTGAAACCAACTCTTAAATTTTCCTAGAATTTCTTATTTCAAATTGCACAGCAACTACCTTTAATGCCATCCAAAAAGACATTAATCATTAGCAGCCAAAACATTACAAGACTTCACAGTTAACTGCATCCATTATACACAAAGAATTGTTAATATTTAAAATTAAAATATTTCAAAACAAACCCGATCAAACATCTAGTCATGTTAAATGCAACTGTCTTCCAATAAAAGTCTTGTTTTAATAACAAGTTTCCGAACCAGCTGTAGTCTCAATATATAGTTTTGAAGAAGACATGAGGATGAGATACCCTTGTCCATTTCTTCTTGCTGTGACTTACCAAATAACCTCATTTGCCTAAAACCAAACACATTTATTCAAAATCCATTGTTACTTTTCTTGCCCTATCCAGTGTCAATGTCCCACTAATTTCATATAAAGAGAACAGAGTCTGGTCATGGTGCTCTCGGATTTTACTTTGTAATGGATTTCAGTTCTTCTTTAAGCAGGAAGAGAGACTGTCTATCCTGATATCAGTACTGCCATTAAAAGGTAAAACCCCCCCCCCCCCCCCCCCCCGTTTTCCACAAACGCTTTTCCTGGGATGGCAGTCTCCTTGAGAACAGTACTGCTTACTTCTCCTACAATACCTGAAATCAAAACCATGCCTTTTTCATGTGCCATGCCATCAAGCAAGGAAACAGCAAACTAGACACATTTAGTCCCACATTTATGCTAGGCACTATAGAGACCAGTACGTTGAACAACCCTAGAATAATTTACAAGAAGGAGGCGCAGAAAGTATGCCTAGGTAAAGGTCACATACATTCCTACTGCTACCCCCTCCATACAATGGAAGAGGGGATCCTACAGATACAAACTTGATTTTAATTAAGAATGAAAGCCTCAAAGATCCACTATTCAAGGTGCAGCACAGTGAAGACAAGAGGACCAACAAAGCAAACTGGTTGATTTTCTCTATATTAATCACTACGGCAATACCTAGACTTCCGTCAGTGGATCTGTGATGAATCCTGAACATGAGAAGTCCTAACACACACAGGTCTAAAAAGGAGCCTAAAAATTATTATGCATATATGCATGTTTGGTTTACCGGTCTATTAGAGGGTACCCATAGGACTATAAAGAAAAAGTAAGTCAGTACATGCTGGCAAAGAGTTCAATATGTAATATTAGTTTCTTATTTCAGCATATATCCCATATTCTGTTGTACGAATAGTATTAAGAGTAAATGCACTGGGAAGTGCAAGTGATGCATGAAAAGCAACTGACAAGCAAGAGACCTCAAATACAAAATTCTCAGGATTAAAACTGGAGATACAGGTGTTCAAAGATGGGCAAAAACAAGTTTATATGTGAAATTCTCTCGTTTGCTAAACAATATAAGAAAGCCAGAAGTTATAGAAGAAATTATGCTCTGATATATATTATTTGTATTTTCATTCTAGAAAAAAAAAAAATCCAAAAGAATATTTAAGTATGAATCATATGTTCACTAGCTAACAAAAAGTATCAGCAAGTTTGGGACATTTACTGGAGCGTACTCCAAGTATGCATCAAAATGAGAGCTCCCAACAAGCACTGAACTAAGTGGAATATGTTGTAAGCAATGAGGCACCTTTCAAGACAGTAAAGGAACTTCACTTCAAGGAATGACTCACTAAATGAATACTAAATTTTCAGTGAATTAGAAAATTCCAGTTGAAATTATATGTGTCTTAGTTAATGCAGGGCAAAAGAAAACATAAAGAACAGAGACTGAAATAGAGGCCATAATAAATACAAGAATGAAAATATGCTGCTCTGCAGTACTATTTGGATTTTGGAACCAGATGTCTACTTTAAATGTACTGATATTCAGGAATATTTTCAGGAATTGGTTCAAAAAAAGATGTAGTACAGCCTATGAAAATACTGCAAATACCTTTCTTGGTTTTGGGGTTAGATCATCTCCACAAAACAAGGTAAAAATAAACAGTGTCCTAGCTAAAACTAATTTCTTCATCATTAGCATAGTGAACTTTTTCTAGTCATATTCACATAACAACACTGGATTAAAACACAGTAATTGTCAGCATCGCTGAACTCATGACATGACTACAAAGTATATCTCTAGTATAAAGACTGAATAAGCAAGTAGGATCCATCTGACAAACATATAAAGCTATGCTACAACGCTGAAATTCCTCAAACATTACACATTTTATTCAAGCATATCCTAAAAAACATTAGGACCAATGTAGGTCTATTTCTATAGTTCAAAACAATAATGCATGCCATGTATACAGGCAGGAGTAGAATGAGTAAATTCAAAAATATACAGAAACATCATCCACAGCTACACATAGCACACACTGTTATCATTAGTTCTTTGCTTATCAAGAAGGAAACACTTATCTGCTATTATCAGCTGAGTTTTCCTTCATCTCCCAGTGAGAACATTATTTAACAGGTTAGAACAAACTGGATGCTACAACTTATCTCACCATTTCGTTCAAGCAAGTGAGGGTCAGAATGTTTCTTGCCTATATCTGCAAAAGACCGAACCAAGGGAATCCGATTGCTGAATTTTTTCTCATTCTGATGATGGTGCCTTTTTAGAAGGGCCTCTCTCACATTCTCTCTTATGGATTCATCAAGCTGGCCAGAGGCAATCATGTTGTCCAAAACCATATCTACAAAATAGCAGTAACAACAAAAAAGAAAATTATATATATATAGCTATCAAATCTCTCCTCCACCACACTCAAACACTGTAGTTGCACCAAATAATAATAATAAAAAATTAAATCTATTTAAAAAAAAAAAAAAAAGAGCACATTTTCTTTAGCAAAGTCATCTTCAAGAATCCACAGGAAATTTTCAAAGATGTCAATAAACAAGCAAATGTGAGAATATGGAAAGCACAACATGAGGATCCAAAAGACAATATTTATTAGTAGCATCATTTTAAGAAATAAGTTACTTAACATTTTATAATTTATCACAATTTACTTCAACTTTCAAAGGCTACTTTAAAAAAAAAAAAAAAAGCATCTATGTACTCAACAACTCTCCACTACAAGTGAACACACAAAGACAGAAACATAATGGAGAACAGACTTCTTAAGACAGTCTTAACCTGTTTTTCCTTATTTTGAAAGTATATAACTTTCACAAAAAAGAAAGTTTCTATAGAAAGAGATGAATTCCCTAACTCCTTTGTCACCTTCAGATGCCCTAAGTTCCTGAGGCTTTCTACCAAACGTCATGCGATTCACATGCATTAGAAGAGGAAGAGTAAAACAAAAGCTAGTTACATCATCTAAAACAAATTAATCAGCTGTCAAACAGCACCAAGTTTCAAAAGGGCATCTCATCAGTATGCTCGCATCAGGGAAGAAAGCCTGCACGTCTGGAAAAATACCTGTTGCAATTTCTTAACTGCTTTTTTTTAATTAATTAAAAAAAAAAGCCAACCCAACTCCCCACCCCAACCCCCAAAAAACCTGCACAAATCAACATGAACCTATGTGACAATTTTTCAAATATACTTTGCCAGTCTTAACTGGAGTACTGAGAACCTAATTGTATTGGTAAATTGCAATTACATACAACTTTTCACAATGAAAAAGGTTATGGCTCAGAATACCTTACAAACAAAATTATCTGCAGCAAAGTCTCTGTCAGTAAAGTGCAGCTTCCTTCTGGAATTACTGGCAACACACAACCTTTTGTTATAGCTTCTCAAAAGGAAACCAACCACCCTCTCCCTCCTGTTCTCAGTGAGAACCAAGAATACCTACTAGGTATTCCTGGCTCAGGGAAACAAGACAATCCATTTGTATGCCAAGGATTGTTATCCTACGTGCTTCGTAATGGCACCTAAAATTAACTTTAAACAAATTAAATCTCTTAAGACATCCTAGTTCCAACTCAAATACCTGCTATTAAAGAGTGCTGTTTAGACAGAATTAAACAATAACTATTTTTCTTATGTACTAGAATTATTGCTGAATTCAATTATTAAAAATAAATTAAATACCAAAACATTACTTTTACAAACCGTGTATTGAACACTCTTACTCAGTAAGTCAGGAAAATAGGAAGGGAATACCAATTTCCTGAGTGAATTTTGAAGATTTCAAACCAAAACAAGATAGTGTTTCAAGCACTGCCAAAATTTTTAATGCCAAAACACCTTGTCCTTCACATACGTGATGGCCAGCCCTAAGCCTAGCCTGATTCCTGAGAAGGCATTCCACTGTGTGGTACCTGTAGCAAGACATACCAGGAAAATTACATAAAACTAGTTCAAAGGCATTCAGGCTAAGCAGGTATATATATACACATCTATGAAAAAGTCTTCAAAGATGATTTTATAGTATCCAAAATGACCATGTGATTAGTGAGGACACTCAACAGAGTAGGTCAAACAACATGTACAAAATTTATTTCTGCTCACCTCTTATAAAGGTGAAAAAAATACCAGATGTGCAACAATCAACTGCACTAAAGGCATCAAGTTAACATCAGCCAAGTTATGATTAATAATTATGGTACTAAAGTACACAAATAAGTCCTAAAATGTTCTGGCAGATATTTACATTTCATCTGTAGAAACAAAGACAAAGAACACATTCAGGAATTAGAACATAAAAGCAAATTCTGGGCCTCGTCCTAAAACATGTAATAGAGGAGGTCCTACTCATCCAGTGTAGCTCCTTGTAAGCAAAGTTTGTAGGATCATCACTTTACAAATAGATGAAGAAAATTGCAGTAAGCATGCACATACCTATTTCTTCAATATAACACTTTCAAGAACATAAAAAGACACCATCAAAAAAGTCTCAAGTTATAGATTAAAATTTAGGAATAGAATATTTAAAAAAAAAGTTTTGCTGCAACCTGCTATCTCATCTAGTGTGTTTGCTCTCATGTCCAACATGACCGTCCCATTAAGAATACAGCTTCGCAGTTCAAAGAGACTGTGCAGAGACAGAGTTGCTACATAAGGCTTGCTCCATCGATCACCACCATCTTCAACATCCTCTTCAAATTTTAGCCACCTGAAATGCATACACATATTTTTATTTCTCCTGGAAGACAGATAATTTGGCAAGCAATCTCATTCTTCCATGTGGCTTCTGTATGACACAGAACAGGAAATCTCATCAGCTCTTAACAGCTTTCATTTTCTCAGACAACCCAACTGACTGATAGTCACCGTATTTTTACCAGACCATTTAAGCACACTCAGCTGTTTTAGTTTTCGCCCATTTTGTTTCTTTTGGTTTGAACAGTACCGGTCTATTCATGAGTTCTTGTGAACAGTGCAGGACTGTGCCTCAGTATTTGATTTGCATATCTCAGTTTCAGTTTCATTGGTATTTTAGGATTAGAGAGCTGGCTGAAACACACCATATTAGATGTTCAAGTCTTCTAGGGTGCTAAGTCACACATTTAAGAGCTAGGTAATACTAACATGTGTAACTAAATTGATCTTGATTCTAACTCACAGGCATTATGTAAATTGAACTTCTGCAAAAGCTGTCACGCAATAAGGTAATTAGACATACTGAATAAAGAAGAATTTATTACAACACATATGTAGAAGGAAGCAATTAAACCAGTATGGGCCAAAAATAATCATGGGATCCTATAATGTTCATGCATGCAATATGCAAAAGATTAATCAAATACTACTTAAGAAGAACATATGTAAATAGCCAATTTTATTTGCATTTGAGTGAAAAAAATTGACATTAATATATCAGCAATAATAGAGCAAAGAGACTTCTGAGACTGTAAATACTGTGCTCCATGGCTGAACACCTGTATATTTATAACTAAACACAGTTGTACCTTTCACAACACTTGGCACAATCAATTTTAGGGAAGTCACACAGCACCAGTGAGACTGAGGGTCTCTTGAGAAACCATATTGATCCTTCCAGAGTTGGACAAAAACAACAAAATTTTTAATTTGCTGAATGTGAACTGAGTGAACAACTCCTGTAGTTCATGAAAATTCTAACCTAGACCTGGTTTGCAGTTCTTTGAAATAAAATCACTGGAAGATATACCTTGAAACAATCTACTTTTAGCATACCTAGCCGTTTCTTTCCATTCATATTCTTCTCCATCCCTGAAGCAAAGTTCATCCATTTCAGTGAAGAGATCATGGGGAATGTGTTCATCATCATCTTCAGTACCCAAGATAAATTGCACTCGTTGGGATGGCGTGTCTTGGGAGAAAAGGAGAAACTGAACAATTTTAATTTTTCATAGCTCTATTATGCAAGAAACATCACATAACAGTTAAATCTCCAGCTCTCAGTTAGAAATAAGCAGCACAGCATCCTCTCCAAGAGGGAAGAGGAACAAAACAAACATGGACATTTCTTTAAAAGGAGGCCCTTAATTGTTCATTGTTTCTGAAAACGAAACATCTGGGAATTTATGTTCATATAAAGCAATTAAGTATTTTTTGCTTTTCAGTAGATTAACAATATGAAAGTAAACATAGCAAAATCAGTGAGAAATTAAAAATTAATATATAAAAGGGCTAGAAACCTTGTTTTCACTTTGAGAACAAAATAAGTAACATCATGACACAGACAGTAATTGGGGGGTGGGGGGGGAAGATGACGGAAACAAAAAAAAAAGTTGACAAAACAAATAGCCTGACTTACAGATTGGTTGCCCCAGTAATAGTTCAAGATCATAGAATCATTTGGTTGGAAAAGACCTTTAAGATCAAGTCCAGCCGTACCTGTCCACTACTAAACCAGGTCACTACCACCTCGTTTACCTCTCTTTTAAATACCTCCAGGGATGGGGACTCAACCATGTCCCTGGGCAGCCCGTTCCAGTGCCTGATAACTCTTTTGGTGAAAATTAACAAAAAAAAAAAAAAAAAAAAAAAAGAAAATATGCTAAATATCTGGCTTTTTTTTTTTGCTCTACATAGTGGGTACCCAGGCGCTCATACTGTTAGTGCCACTGATTTTTCAATGGTCTGTTGCTACTTATGTAAGATGGAAAAAATTATTACCTTTCTCATTGCATGGTTGGAGCACTGTACATAAATTAGGATAGGAAAGTAGAAACTACACAGCTAAAATGTTGAGGAAATATTTTAACTTCTCATAGCATAATGCCTAGTGGAACAGACTCTGTAATAACTCATAACAAAATTTAACTATCTTTATTGCTCAAATATAAGGGCTATGAGCAAAACCTTAAAAAAAACAATGATAAAAACACATGGTTTTGGTGATATTTTTAATACCTATACACAGGTCTTCTTTCAAGTCAAGGAAGGGCTTTCAAACTCCAAGGGTTCAACAATGTAGTAATCACAATGTTATCTCAAGAAAGGTCAGAGATAGAAAATCCAGGTAAATGTCAATTTTAAAATTTTACTTTTTTCACTGAAACATCACTCTCACATCTGCTAGATATCAACATATAACTGTATGCTTCCACTGCAGAAGGAAGATGGCCTTTTAGATTCAGACATAAGTTCTGAATTACTAATAAATTTCATTCAGAATTGAATTTTGCTTTTGCATTGTTGTTCTGGCATACATCATCATCCAAGAACATAATTCTGAAACAGGCTCTTGAATACAAACAGCATTCATTATCAATGAAGACCTACAGCAGATTGTTTCTGTCCCAAAACCAACACATCCGAAGAATCCTGGCATGTCCTGTGTGTTCAGGATAGAGAAGTGACCAGAAGAGAGAAGTTAGTTTCTACCTATTTAACATTACTTGCTGCTTCAGAATCTGTACAGCAAGACTCTACAAACATAGGATTAAATTACAATAATTTGTATTTGGCAGGGGAAGTTTTGAAGACAGATGAAAATAAGAACTGTGGGAGGATGTCAATGCATCCCCATTTGAAAACTTTTGTTTCAGGGATCTGGCCCCATGTAGAACATGATTCTAGTCACAGAAAGGTGACAGTGAACAGCACGGTGTGCATGCTTGAAGTGGAACATTGCACCATAACCTTCCCTTTCATTACAGTCTAGGAATAAAAGCGGGTTTGACATCTTGAAGAAAAACTGCTAAGAGTACTGCTAAATAATTTCATTTCAGAGAATGATGTGACAAAGTCTTCATCTCATGAGAATATGGGGTAGGCTGAGGGGGCGGGCCGAGGGGGCGGTGTCTGATCCCAAACTAAAACTTAGGAGGCAGTACAATTCCTTTACTAACAGACAGCAAGAAGGCTTAAGCAAGTAGTTTAATGGATTATTTATCAAATTACCATGGCAAATGCAGCTTCACAGCTATATTCACACTTCCAAAAATCTTGAGTGACAGAGGTAGAGTATTACAAGACTACACAATCTGAAAAAGGTGTCCAATTTAAATAATACAGATTTTTATGCTACAGGAGAGTATTATGAAGCTCTAGTCTAACCTATTCAGTACAGTCTTCTAAACATTCATGCAAACAGACGGATTAATTCCAACAGCTTATGATTTAGATAAAACACAACCACAAAATCCTTGCCTGATTGTACACAGAAAGACATACATTACAGTAAGAATAAAAGAAACAGCACAAAACAATGTTTAAGCACAGGGTAACCTACTACAAGTTTATTTTCAAGAGACTCAATGAACTCACACAACAGATTTCTTACCATATGACGGAGATTCTCGGCCATCCTCTCTGTCAGTCTCTTTTTCTTTTTTTCTTCTGTGATGCCTGTGCCCACGATGTCTATGCCGTCGACGGCCTTGCTTTCCAAATGGGACATGAACTCCAATATACACAGCTCTGTGGCCTTTTCAAGAAAGTTTAAAAGGAAACAATTAAACAAAAAAATAACCCCAAAATCACTTGGCAAAACTGCCTTTAGTGAACTAATATTACCATTTCATTTCTGTCCTTCCCCAGTGTCAAGGAACTGGTGCTATATTCATTTCCCTGATAAACTGAATATGGCCCAATCTAAAAAATCCGTTGTGAAACAAGTAATCTAGAAACACAAGCTTGACCTGTAACACTGAAAGAAGCTACTTGGTAAACACCAGGGCAAGGCAGAGAAATTACATGATACTCCTCTTATTTGCAAGGATTCATATCAGGACAGTCACTACAATGGCAAGATGTAATCTCCTAGTTCAGTTTATGAACTTAAGAAATTACCCATCTTTTACAGTCTGCAAGGAGTTTTCTCTGCTTGAATGAAGTGCCAATATTTCTTCAAGTAGCACGTGACACATCTAGGTGAACCTGATGTTCAACTATGCCATTAATTTAGTATCAGTTTAGGGGCATAAAAGGAACTTATATTTGGAAATGTATGCCAAAGCATAGCTTATGTTATGTAATGTATGTATGCCAACACAACTTACAGGGAAGGCTGGGGTGGTTGTTTTTTTTCTCCTATTCTAGAATTTTTTAATTAATTTAGGTAGTGCATCCTCAAATTAATACCTACTTCTCTCTAAAACATGCACTTTCAACATCTCGTTTGTCCTTTGACCTTTCACATTAAGGCAATACCAGCATCAACAACTTGGCAAAAGAAATCTATCAACAGACTGTTAGGAACACATTACTACCATGTCTCCTGTAATGGGGTTAGCATATACAATAACCTTTTCAATTCCTTTTTAAACAAACAATCTCAGGAAGAGACACATTAACTATGAGCCTGGAGGTTAACACTAAATATTTTGTTTCATACTGTAGAAGAGTTATTATAGAAGACTGACATTAACAAAAGGAAAAGGAAGTGGTTTTCCATCTCCTAGAGAGATGCAAATTCAGCAAATTTATAGAAGAGCAAGCCCTAGGAGTTGTGACTGTACACATAGATGCACGTACGTACAGCACACAAGCACACTAGATTAAGGGTACTGAAAAGTTCTGGTGATTACAGAACTAGAGAAATAAAAAGTAGTAGTACGTCAAACTTGTTTTCCAAGAAAAGCATCTCTAAGCCCAAAAAGATACACAAAACTTTTATAAAGCAGCACTTTTACAGTGCTACCTGATTAAAAAGATTAAGCAAAAATCAGTAATAATGCACGAGAAAGTTCAACATTTAATTAATTTGGTCAAGATTCCTTTTCAAATTACAAGACCTGATTCTTGACAGTCTTCCAACACTAGTTTTTAATTAGAGTCGGCTGATTGGCACTATGACCAAATCTGAAATTAAGCATCTCAAAAGCTATTTGTTTCCATGTAAGTGGAAAACAGATTAATTTGTTGAAGCATTCATCAGTCCTATTTATAGAGACAGACTTTTCTTTCGTGAGCTTCTTCCAAGAACACCACTCAGCCCCTGCCAGCCAGCCTGACCTCCACCCTCCACAACTACTATGCACAATTGCATTAATTTCTCTGGGAATTGCAATGTGACAGCTAAACATAAATCACTGCACTTGATGTATAATGTGACTAGGTGGCACCATTGCCAGTGGTCATGTTATTGATACCCATTGTGATACAACCATCTTATGTATAGGGAAGGCAAAAGTACTAGGTTCAAAACCAGCTGCATTACCCCATCCCACTCAAAACTGCCTGGTGCAACTGAATAACCCACCACTCACTGCAAATGCTCTTACCATCCCTGTTCAGATTTTTCTTTTATTTTGTATCTTCCATTAGCAAGTATTAAACTATAGTTATATATATAGTTAAACAATTTTATTTGTCGTCAAAGTGCTTGGGTTTTTGTGGCAACAATTTTTTCCTAAGAGAAACTCAAACATATTTCTAGTAATAGAGCATTTTGTATTATCAGCTTGTTTTAATATTCTTAGTAAGACTGTTTTAAGCATGCATTTTTATTATTGCACAAGAAAAAAAACCTTACAGGTGATTACTTTCTAGAAAATCTGGAAATTTGGGAATCTGAAATTGTTCAAGATCTTACTTCATGAAAAATTAGGACAACTTCCACATTTTGTTCTCTTGTCGTTCCCCTAAATTAAGACAAAAACCCCACATTGCTTTCTGTACTAAAGAACAAACAAAAATTCCATACAATTTTCTCAATAGCCTCCATCTTAAACAATTCACCCTGCTATTGCAACAATTAGGATTTGTAATAGCGTGACCATGTCCATAGTCAAAGACCATGCTGCTGCACGGAGGAGAGGTGGAACAAGGAAACGAGAAGTCTATCTCCTATTACAAAACCGCAGTCTGCCTGAAAATTGTTTTCAATAGAGAAGTTTGGAGGAGAGCAGATCTGTTGGAAAGGGACGGGTAAAAGCTAGGGAAAACAGAGCTGAAAAAAGCAACAAGCCACAGGTGTTTTTAAACAACCTGTGACCATAGCAAATTGCTTTCCTACCCAAAATGCACTGAACTCTCAGCTACCACTACATCCAGGCGCCTCGTAGCTGCTTCCAGGCACATCGAGTAGGCACTGCCAACTCAGTCCTCAATCCAGGCAGCCAGCCCACAACCTACAACACTTGGTACTACTTTCTACTCCAGAAAGAGACTTTAAAGGCAGTGCCTTCTCACTGCCCCAAGAGGTTAGGGTATCACAAAGACAGAGGAACAGGCCAGCAACAGGTTGTCCTACACTTCAGCCCCCGCTGCCCAGAAGTGACTACTGTGTGAACAGCCATTTCATCATATAGACACTGTCTTGCAGGCAAATGTAAAACGAGAATAGCTTCCCCAAATCACTTCTGTGTATTCAAAGCGATCAGACGGCTACTCCCGCAACTTTATTTTGGGACTAATGTAAAATGCTGACAAGGAGGATGACTTTCAGCAATTATTAAGTAAAATGCATCACAATGCAATGTAATTCTATCAGAGTAACTTCAAGAAAAAACCCTGATGTCAAAAAAGAGCCTCTGGGGTTTTTTAGTTTTGTTTTCCAGAGCAAGTATGGGGGGTGGCAATATAGGAGATTAACCAAGAAGTGTTTAGTTATTGCAAACAGCAGCTTATGAGTGCACCAGAATGTTCCTTAAGAAAAAAAAAAAAAAAAAAAAAAAATCAAAGAGTACCTTCTTAATAGACATAGCAGGAAAAATAGCATGTCTTATCATAGACATTCATAAACAAAGACATCTCCACTACTACCTAGGAAATCCGAAAGCACCGCTGTTGAGTATAGTAGGATCATTACCCATAAACATGTTACAGGTATATTCAACTCCAAAAAGCAGGGCAAAACTGCATAAAAGTTGGACATGCTTAACCTTAATTCTAACTCCACAAAGCAAAGCACTGAGAAGCCCTCTAAAAATAAAGACAGCTGTACTGTGTAGGTCTACAGTAGGTCTGAGTAGGTTCCCTTAAGTTTCATTATTCAGATAGGAGTAATTAATGTTTGCAGATGGACAGATAAAGATTTACTTACAAACGCAGTTTAGAAGGAAAAACAAAACGCAGTTTAGAAGGAAAAACAAACAAACAAAAAAACCACCACAGGGATTTTTTTCCTTCATTCCCAATGAATTGAGCAAAGCAGCTCACAGTTCCCTCCTTTATCGTGGCCAAAAAAAAAAAAAAAAGCAAGCCAGGAAGGCAAATTATTTCATTGCAATGAAGAAAGAGTTAACTCTAAAAAGACTGGAATTCGTAATACTAGCATCAGTGTTATTTCTGAAAGGAACACAACCCTTTTACTTGAATATTGTTTTTAAAAGCTTGAAAGGTACAATTCTGTGACCTTCAAAGCTTTAGTCACACAAACATCTGTACCATAGTACGACTCTCAAGCAAAGCTTGTTATAGAATTACTTTAAATAATAATCAGTAGAATCAGTAGACTGCCCGATACTAAATTTAGTAATATAAAGCTCAAGAGATAATTGTTCATTTTAATCTAACATGACTTTATCCAAGCTTAGCTGTTCAAATCCACAAAGAGTATTTACTACTTAAGGCCCTTATCAGCATGAAACAAATTTAAATGTTAGGAACTTGCTGCATGTCTCCATCACATGGTTGGTCTTACTCCAAAAGTCAGTTTGTATCAAGTCCTATAAAACTGATGGAATAGAAAATGTTCTGTTTAAGTTCCCTGATTTCTCCCCAAAGCCCTAAGAAAATGGTAATAGGAAACTTCTGAAGTCTGAGAGAGATCAAACACATGTATCCAAAAATGCTCTGATGTGGCAACCCTGTACATACAATTCCACACCAAACTTCTTTTTTTCTAACCCTTTTTATTAGCTAGATGCCTTTTAAACTCCATACAAAGAAGGACATTCTTCCCCATGTTAACATGGGAAAACAAACAAAATAAAGTTAATGTGAATTCTCAAATCCTGTTACTTCGAAATTTGAACTGCAGAGATCGTGTATTAATTACAGTTGTAAGGGACACCTGGAGGTGGGCTATCTGGTCCAGTCTTGCTCAAAAGTATAGCTGACTTCAAAACTAAAGCCATCTTTTTGATCAGGTTGGTCAGGATGACAACCAGCCAAGCTTTGAGTATCTGTAAAGAGCTATGTGCTATTCGGTGTCTTCTAACTCACATCCCCAAACACATTAACCTAGTAGGAAACATTTGAAATCTCTCATCTCAACATTAATTCCATTTACATCACAGAAAGTACTTATAGAAACAAAAATAAGCTCAATGCCAATTATTAGCACAACTTCTACCTTCTTTGTCACAGGTCTGCTCCGAAAGTAGAAGCACACAAATGGGAAAAATAATCTTAGGTGGATGGCAGAAGAGTGAGAACAAGAAAGTCTTTTCATGCCCAAAAAAACTTCAGAGCCCAAAGGCCTTCTCCAAATATTCTCTGCTCTGGTGAAACTTAAGGAACAAGTGGAATCCCTCATTT